TTTTTCATTTTTTTTTGTCCACATGTCCAATATATTTTGTACATATTTTACAAGGGTATAGTGATAGAACATACTAGTTGTTTCCAGCCGTGATGTCGTCGCAGTGGTATGTCTTGATGAACTGAGGGATGTTCTAACTAAATGTGTTAATTGTATTTAAAGTACCCTGGCTTGCCAACACTTACCTCTTTTAATATAGCATGGCATATCCAAAATTAGAACCATCATGATGCCAACCACTCTCTCACATTTTGGTCTGGTTTCTCAAATGCAAAAGCAAGCAGACAGAATTTCACATAACCTTTGGTAAATCCATAGGAAAATGTCAGGCTTTAGAACCAGTGATGTAAATGCTCAGTTGTATCTTGACAAATATTGTATCTTAAAATTGTATCGCATATGTTCCTACATGGTCCTCATCATGGATATTTTCCTTCAAGCTAAGTAAAGTACACACATGGAAATCAACCATGTAAATAAATCTCCTTGCAATCCCCTTCCCATTCCGCCAGAACAAGTTCCTAAACACAACTTCCTTCCTTTCTTAGTTTTTCTTCCTATCTTCCTCCCTCTATCCTTCATTCCTGCCTGTCTTTCTTTCTGGATACATAATATACTCGCATGGGTCAAAAAATTAAAAAGTGTTAAACATTATATACAACAAAACTCTCTCTCCTTCTCTGCCCCCAGTCACCTAGCTTTCTTCCTCAAAAGCAACCAATTTTAATCAGCTTTTTGTCTCACCATTCAGCATATCAACCAGCATATATGTCATGTGTATACTCACAGATTAGAGAGTATTTCAATCCCTTAAAAAAGGATAGGAAAAATATGCACTGTTTTATACCTTCTTGTTTTTTACTTAGTATTCAATACATAGGATATCATTCAATATTAATATATAATGAGCTTCCAGGTTCTTTTTAAAGTTGAAAACATTATAAATATTAGTGTATTGAGTTAGTCGCACATTGGTGAACATTTAGGTAGTTTCTAATTTTTGCCATTACAAACTATGCCATCACAAATAACCTCATAGCACACCATGCTGAATGTAGACAAATATTTTTATGGTATAAATTCTTAAAAATGGAGTGGCCAGGTCGAAGGGTGTGTGCATTTGTAAAAAGGACATATTGCTAAGCTGCCGTCCTTAGAGGTTACACAGATTTACCCTCTGACCAGTTACATAAGACAAATGACTTTCCAGCACTCTGGGTCATCAAACTTTTTGACCTCTGACAACTTTAGATGAAAATATATCATAGTGTAATTTTAACTTGAAATTTTCATACGCCGTCTCTATATCCATTTCTGTGAAGGTTCTGTTTTTATTGTTTGCTCATTTTCCCACTGGGCCTCTGTTCTTTTTTTTGCCAATTTTTTTTAGCTCTTTCCATACTAGGATAATTAGCATTTTGCCTGAAATGAATCCAAATACTTTTCCCAGTTATTTTTCAATTTATTAGATTTAACCAGATTTTTTTAAATTTTGTTTTTAAGGTTTCTGCATTTAATATTACAGTTAGAAAATTTGTGTCTATGCCAAGATTTTTTTTTTTTAAGATTTATTTTTACAGGGGGGGAAGGGAGGAAGAAAGAGAGGGAGAGAAACATCAATGTGTGGTTGCCTCTCCCAAGACTTGGCCCACAAACCAGGCATGTGCCCTGACTGGGAATAGAACCAGTGACCCTTTGGTTCTCAGGCTGGTGCTCAGTCCACTGAGCCACACCAGCCAGGGCTACTCCAAGATTTTTTTAAAAAGGTTTTCCCATCATTTCCCAGGTATTTTATTGGTTTCTCTCTTTAACATTTAAGTATTTAGTCCATCCAAAGATGTTCCTTGTGTAAGGTATAAGGTACGGGTCCATCTATGTTTTATCTAAATCTCCCACTTGTCCCAATACTATTTGCTGAATAATCCATCTTTTACTGATTTGAAAAGGCAACTTAAAGTATTTCTGGCTTCATACATTTAATTCCCAATTACATGATTAAGCCCTAGTGATGGTTCTATCGTAGACAGTATGACTGACTTGTCCATGAAAGATGAAACGGGGTTTACATACCCCCTTTCTCCCTCCTCCGAAGTTTGTAATTATGTGTTTCGTTCCTCTAGTAGTTCTTTTCCTACTTTATTATTTTTTTAAAGATTTTATTTATTTTTAGACAGAGGGGAAGGGAGGGAGAAAGAGAGATAGAGAAACATCAGTGTGTGGTTGCCACTTGAGCACCCCCCCGCCACTGGGGACCTGGCCCGCAACCCAGGCATGTGCTCCAACCAGGCATCGAACTGGTGACCCCTTGATGCACAGGCTGGTGCTCAGTCCACTGAGCCACACCAGCCAGTGCTCTTTTCTTATTTTAAATAATTGACTTAAATACTCTTTCTTGTTTCAACAGCTCTAACCAGTACCTAGACGTGCCTCTCAGCAATATGAGGAGGGTTGTGCCTAGAAGTGTACCTAATCTTTGTGTTACCCCAGGCCATACTATCCACAACAAGGCCCAACCTGATGATGATGATGATGATGGTGATGATGGTGATGATGGTGACGATAATAATGTAAATGATGATGTATGGAAGCAGGATGTAGAGACTCAGATCAATGTTTTACCAGTCTAAGATTATTAAAATACATATCATTCATGAGTCCATACTTATGTAAATGATTAAGTGAATAAATAAATAAATGGGACAATCTTTCTTTCAGAAGAATTCCAATTAATAAATGTAGAAGAAATGCGGGGAATAGAAAATCACCCTTAGAACACTGCAGTAGTAAGTGCTGCAGGCAAGATCCACTGACGAATGAGAAAATTGGTTGGTGAAAGTTTAAGGAGGAACAGGACACTTGCATAGTCTCAAAGTATCTCCCCCAAAATATGCCTTAGTTACCATGGCAGCTTTAACACATGCCCACAAATTCTTTGCTGTTCTTCCCTCCAGGAGGTGGGCTTCATCGTCCAAGTCCCTCTCCCCAACCTCTCCCCTAACCCGAGTGTGGGCTGCATTTAGTGACTCTCTTCCAAAGAATAGAGTTTGGAAACGGGAAAGTAGTGACAGTTTCTCCCCTTTAACCAAGTGATCAGGTTAACATCACCAGCAATAAGCCATGTTGATCCCAGGACCCTGCTGATCAGACCTGAGGAGAAGGGCACTTTATCTGTGTGGTATACAGTACTCCCCCAAAATCCATGACCCTGACCTGGCAGTGAGAAAACATCAACCTCAAACTGAGGGACACTGTACAAAATACCTGACCCATACCTTTCAAAAATATCAAGGTCATGAAACATAAGAAAAAGGTGAGAAACTTTCAGGCGGGAGGACATTGAAGAGACATGACACCTAAACTGTATGTGGTGTCCTGGGCTGGATCGTGATACAGAAAGAGGACATTAGTAGGGAGAACGGGGAAATCCCAATGAAGTTTGTACTCTAGTTAATAGTCATGTACCAGTGTGAATTTCTCAGTTTAATCATTACACGGTGGTTGTGGAAGATGTTCACTTTAGAGAAAGCGGGGGAGGGGCGTGCAGAAACTCTGCGGTACCTTTACAGCTCTTCTGTAAGAATGCAATTATTTCCTAATATAAAAGTTTTAAAAAATAAATGATCTGTTTTTAAAATAAAATCTTATTATTGGGCTAAATTAGTTCTTGGATACTTTTAAATTAATATTATAGAGAAAAACAAAGTATAATTTTTCAGTTTCAGTGATCATCAAGCAATTGATTTGCAAGTGGGCAACGATAACATTTCTCATTCCATTTTGCACGCTCTACTCCATGTAAATGTTTATACCGTGGCTTTGTATTCTGATGGCCTAGGGTTTTTCCCTAATAAATACTAACAAGAAGTAGAATCTTTATTGTTATGTGTTTTCCAATTCATAAAAATAATAATGTTAAAATAAATGTTTAATATTTTATTTACTTATTTTTATGGAGTCGGGGCTGCAGGGGAGGAAGAGAAGCATCAATGGGGAGGTTCCTTCTCACTCCCACAACCGGGGACCCTGCCCACAACCCAGCCATGTGCGCTGACCGGAACCAAACTGGCAACCTCTTGGTTCGCAGGCGGGCGCCCAGTCCACTGAGCCACACCAGCCAGGTAATGTTAAAAGAATTTTAATAAACTTAAATGAAACTTAAAAAAAAATCTGTCTTTTTGCGGAAAGTGTAATCCCAATATAAGGCAACGTGGCGCTCACAAATACAAGCAGGACAGGCCGCTCCCATGGTCCCTCCAGCTGTCCTTGCGGTGAAGCCTCAGACTCTCCTTCACTCACTCACAAAATATGTGCCTGTGGTTAAATATGTTCCAGGCATTGCGTTAAGCTTTGACAAATACAAATGTAAATGTAAATATAAATATAAAGATACATATAAACAGGGTCTGGCACAAATAACGCCCCTTGTATTACAAAAGCATAAGCATGTAATTCTGTAACATGATGATATCGCACTCAAGTACACCATATGACATTTTAAGTGAAATGTTCAAATTAAAACTGTAAATTATTACGCACATATTATTACCCTACCAACCACATTCAAATATGAGCTACTTCTGCCAGACCCCGTGCATAAATATATATCCACTTCTTACTCTGCCCCAGTCTCGGGAAGTTCATGCAACTACCAGTCTGAGTCCTTTCATTCCTCCCACGTCTATATGATGTAGGAGTTATCATTAAGCATCCTCATTTTTACGACGGACAGGAAACTGAAGTTCAGAGAGGTTGAGTGGCTTGCGGAGGGCGCACAGCTAAGGGAGAGGCGCAGCGTGGACCTGAAACCACTCCCCTTTGCCCCAGACTCCACTCCAGGGCAGGGAGGCGACCCAGACGTGCACGGGCCACTCAGCCATCGCGCTCAGGTAGGACACCCCACCGCCCCGGCTCCCCGTAGCGCAGCCCCGCCCGCTGCCTTCTGCCGCCTGACCGCGGGAGGCAGGTCTGCTCCCGGAGGCTGCGCAGTGAAGGCGGGAGGCGGTCCTCGGGGCGGACCGAGCACTGGGCAGTGTCGCTGCGCTCCAGAGTAAAGGAAACGTGCGTCGGCTCTTCTAGACAGGGTCTCGCTTCCCCGCGCTGCAGCATGGGGCCCGTGCCGCGGACCGTGGAGCTCTTCTACGATGTGCTGTCCCCCTACTCCTGGCTGGGCTTCGAGGTGACGCCGAGGCTGGGACTACGAGGGCAGAGGGAAGGGCGAGCCCAAGTCGCGGGGCCCATGGGCTCTTGCCATTCCTGGCGTTGCCGAAGGTGGTTTAGAACCTGCAGGCAGTGAGCCGGGGCTGAAGGTCACTTCGTGTTTGTAAAACGCAAACAGTCCTTGGCTCCAGGTCGAACCCTTATATCCTAAGACAGCGGTTTCCCACAGTGGTTTCGAGAAGGGGCAACTCCAAAGAATCAAAGAGAAAGCCAGGGGACCGCCACTTCTTAGCCCTCTGATGTCACTTGGTGGGGGCGGGGCGAGGGGAGGTGTGCAGAACAGGACAGAAACTGTCCGCAGGAGCTACAGTCCTGTGACAGTGTTCCAGGAGTGAGCGACTTTAGCCATTTCAAGCCGAGCAGTTCAGGGTGTCCGCCTAACCCCTACTTTGCACTTGGAGTCTCTGGCTAACCAGTTGCCATGAAACACCCTTCCCTTTCTCTCCACCACGTTCACACCTTCCCTCTGCACCCTGGCTGGGGTCTCGGTTTCCGCTCCTGCAGATCCTGTGCCGCTATAAGAACATCTGGAACATCCACCTGCAGTTGCGCCCGAGCCTCATTGCAGGGATCATGAAAGACAGTGGTAGGAAGGCCGCAGCACCTGGGGCGGGGACTTGAGGTAGGGCGGATGTCAAAGGCCCAGGGCCCTGGGCTGCCCTCCAGTGGGTTTTTATGTGGGCACCAGCAGGTACTAATTTGCCCTCTACCCAGAACCCAGGAGGGGTCCCCCAAGCCTGGGATTCTTAGGTCGCTTTTCACCAGCCAGTACAACTTTCCACTTGCAGGAAACAAGCCTCCAGCTCTGGTTCCCCGCAAGGCCCAGTACATGACAAGTGACATTAAGCTTCTGAGACAGCATGTCCAGGTCCCCTTGAAGCTCCCCAAGGATTTCTTCGCTGTGATCCTTGAAAAAGGTGAAGAGCATGGGCTGTAGACAAGACAGCAAATGGAAGGCAGCGGAGCTGGAGCTTGCGGAGCCCAGAAGGAGGGGCAGGGTGGGCGGCCACCTTCGGAGAAACAAGCCCTGGGAAAACTCAGGATCAGGGTTGAGCAAAAAGATGGTTGGGGGCGGGCGGGGGGGTGGCGCATAAGAGGAGAAAGAGCAGGACAAACCAGTTAGGAGAAACTTGGGTGGGAGGCTGAAGGCAACTGAGCTCAGGGACGTCCGAAGCAGGAAAGGACAGGCAGGCCCACCAAGGGGAAACTAGCTGGGGGAGCTCTCCCTGCGGCTGCTTGTGCCCCACAGGAAGTTTGTCGGCCATGCGCTTCCTCACCGCTGTCAACATGGAGCACCCGGAGGTGCTGGAGAGAGCGTCCAGGGAGCTGTGGATGCGCGTCTGGGCGCGGGTGAGGGCAGGGCTCTGGGAGCCCGCCTGGGAGACCCTGGGTGACATGGTGGCCTGCTCCCAGACTCCTGCCCCTGCCCTCCCCTCTTGTTCACTGACCTACTGTCCCTCCTGCCCCTCGCCTGGCCACCCCCTTCCTGCTGAGTGGTCTCCTCTTCCCAGGATGAAGACATCACCGAGCCTCAGAGCATCCTGGCAGTGAGTGTCCTGGCCCTGTGCCCAGCCCACCCCTCCTCTCCTAGCGTATCTGAGAGCAGATGGCATTTGGGGGCGGAGAGGACATAGTTTCCCTAGTAGATGGAAGAGGTCATTGTTACTTGGGGAGAAAGGATATCTGTGTGAGAGGTCAGATTGCTGAAAGGCTGGAACTCAGGGGATTGTCAAAAGTATATCAGGGTTGAAAGAGGAAGTGAAAATTCTCCATTCGAATTTATTTGATGGAAGAAGTCAGTGGGAGAGAGGATAAACGTTAGCAACCTTTCCCCATAGGGAGGGATGAAGTATTAGCAAACAGTCCAACAGAAAGCTCACCAGGAAATCCCATGGGAATTAGAGCCCAGCCCTTGACTTAAACAAAAAGAAAGATATCCAGGGATTCTGAGCAGTGAAAAGGCAAGAACCCGAGATTTAACATCCAGGATTCAGATTTTCACTTTGCCTCTGCTACCAACAAGCTCTTTATGGCTGACCAAGTTTGTTACCACCTGGACCTGCCTTCCTCATGGGTTATGGGGGAGGTCAGGACCTGTTTCTAAGTCGCCCTCTGGTGTTAAATTTATGCAACTATAACTCTTTGCCACCTGCTTTTTCCACCAAACTCAAGATTCTCAAGGAAGAAAATAGCCCCTCTTGGCAAGGACAGACCTCTGCTCGTGGGTGGGTAAAGTCCTGCCAGGAAAACTTGGGGGCAGAAAGTAGAAAAACCCAAGTTTCTCCTGAGATCCCCTCTCCCACTAATGCAGACACAGCTGTGTCCCTGTCACATCCCCTCAGGCCGCAGAGAAGGCTGGCATGTCAACAGAACAGGCCCGGAGACTCCTGGAAAAGATCTCAACACCACAGGTGAAAAACCAGCTCAAGGAGACCACTGAGGCGGCCTGCCAATACGGGGTGAGCCACACTTGAGCTGAGCAGAGTCTGAGAGTCTTTGCTGGGTCCCCACGCTCCTGTCCCAAAGCTGCCCCCTACACAAATCATCCATAGCTCTCCCAGAAGACCTTCCTCTCCCTTCCTGTCCCTGAGCCCAAGGAAAGGAAGAGGGGGAGAGAGATGGTGATAAAGACAGGAGCATCTGAGAGTTAGAAAACTCCTTAGAGCCGTGGAGTCTCTTACCAAACACCTCCGCCTCCTTTGCTTCTGTGATCTCAGACAAGGGTTGGCTCATAGCCTTCAACCCCAGCCTAACGGACACCTTCCTCCCTGCACTTGTACTGCTTTCTCTAGGCCTTTGGGCTGCCTGTCACTGTGGTCCACGTGGACAACCAAACCCACATGCTCTTTGGCTCTGACCGGATGGAGTTGCTGGCACACCTGCTGGGTAAGTGACAGGTTCACACTGAGCTGCCCTTGACCCCAGTCCCACTGACATTATATCAATCACCAGAAGGACAGATTCAGAGCAAAAAATGTTCTTGGCATTTTCAACAGTGAAGCCCTATGTAGACACAGGGTGCTTGAGGTTGAATGGGGAGGAGCCGCCTTCCCCGCCATAGGAGAGAAGGAAGCCCCTGTACCTCGAAGCCTAGCACAGCTCTTCTGAGAACCTCTGGGGGCTTGTGGAGTCCGGCGTGGACGTGCATGGTTTCCTCCTTCCAGGGGAGAAGTGGATGGGCCCTGTGCCTGCAGCTGCGCGTGCCAAACTTTAAGGATGCCCCGAGGAAGCAAAACCATCTACGCAGCCCTGCTCCACCGAGGGGCGCCGGCATGGACATTCCTCGGTGGCCCTGGCCCGGGTACATCATCTGCGTTACTCTCACGGCTTCTGTTACTTCTGTGCCTCCCAAGTGCCTTTCGGGGACGCCAAACTCTGTCTCCCCAAGAATAAACCGAATGCCATTGGGTGCAGCAGCTCCGGGTCTGGGTCTTCTGTGGAGTTTGTGTGTTCTTGTACCTGCAGTCACACCCCATCTCCTCTAGGTGGGGCAGAGGATCAGCTCTTCCTACCTTCGTTCCTGCTCTCCGCCAGCCTGGAGAGGCTGGTGCCGAAGGAGCAGGAAACGGTCCCTCTTTTTCTGCAGAAACTTCCCCAGGGCTCTCTGTCGGGGACAGCAGACTAGGCCAGATGGACTTTGCAGTTATGCAATTTGGCGCTTAAGGCCTTCTGACCAGCCAGGGTGTCTGAGAGGGGGCTGGGACCTAGGCACCATGGGTGTGAAGGCTGGAGGGAACCAGAGCGTGGCTGAGCTTGCGCCCAGATGTTGAAACGGGGTCCAGCTACGCTGACCCGCAGAACCAGGGCAAGGCAGCACAGGGAGACCGGCTAGAGTAGCCTTGGCCCAGGGCAGTTGCTCATCCCCTGTCACCCCCTCCTCTCACCCGCTTCCGGCTCCTGAGAAAACCCCAGGCTTGCCCCTGCCTACTGTGAGCCCACTGCTCCCACAGAAACCTGTAGCTTTGCCCCTCCCCCAGTCACGTATCCACAGCCCCTGGTCCATCTGTACCCTCGGTGTGATAATCAGAATGCCTCCTGTTCCAACAGTATTTGGACTTCTTTGAGAAGACCCTTCACTCAGAAGCAGGGATGGAGCCTGCGATGGCTCGGCCCCTTTTTCCTCTCCCCCTGCCTCTTCCTCATCTCACGTCCCCTTTTCCCCTTTTGTCCCGCATCCTGGTCTGTCTTCCCCCTCTCCCCTTTTTCCATTATTCCAGCATATTCCAGGATTCCAAGTCATCCTTACCAGGCATATCTGTGAAGTGATGCCATACGTACATCTCCACATAAGCACTCTCTCTTTCAAAGCAGACTTGGAAGTGGAGTCCAAAGACCTGAGGACCAGGCGCGCAGACCTCGGAGGGCAGGAGGAGGCGGTGGCTCAGTTCAAGCAGAGAGCACACACGTCCTCCTTCTGTATCTTTTGTCTGGACCCCCAGTGGACTGGGTGATGCCCACCCACGTGGGTGAGAGCCACTTTTACAGTCTGTCCATTCAAATGCTAACTCGTCTGGAAACAGCCTCACAGACACACCCAGAAGCCATGTTTTATCAGCTCTCTGGGCATCCCTGAGCCCAGTCAAGTTGACACATAAAATTAACCACAAGGTGAGAAAGCAGGAAGCCCCCAAAGCAGCTGTATTTTTTTTAAATAAAGGAATACTCTGTTCTTCTAATGCAAAGAGTTTTATCCTTATTCTTTTATACTTATCCTTAGTTTCTTCCTTTCCTCCCCTTCTGATCAACAATTGTAATATAAAATCTGCAATTATGTCAATACCCACAATTCAATAGTGACTTTCTTGCACTGTAATTTAGATTCCAAGCTTACCAAAACACAACCTGCTTAGGTACAATTCCTAGACATGATTTTTTCTTTTACAGAGCCAAAGTGCACATTGTAGTTGGCAACAACAAAAAGGTATTTGAATGCATGTGCTTAACAAAACAAAACAAAGTGTCAAGTGAAGAGTGAAGTCTCCACCCTTTCCCACCCCTATGCCAATTCTTCCGGTTTTTGTGTGTGCGGATGCTCCCAAAAACATCCGTATTCTTTCACGTGCAAACATCAGCCATAATGCAGAGAGGTGCTACATACCCTTCATGGGTTTCCCCGGGGGAACATCCCCCATAACCATCGTACAATAACTCAGCCCAGAAGTTCACTTCGATGGGATCCATCAACCCTCCTCAGATCTTACACACAGTTTCACAGGAACTGTTTGTGTGTCTACATTTAGTTGCACATAATTTTATCACCTGAACATTCATGTGACACCACCATAGTCAAGACACGGAACATTTCCAGCCCAAGAATTTCTCACGCTACCCTTTTACAGCTACAGCCGCCTCCCCGCCGCCCGCCCCGCCGGCCCCAACTTCCCTCACCCCGGCAAGCACGACCGCGTTTGCCGTGTATAATGCACACCCACGTTTTTGTGTGCATTATATATGGGATTATTACACCCATTATTATACCCATGGGATGTAATCATTATACCCATGTATAATGCGCATCCTTACTTTTCCCTCAAAAATTCGGGCAAAACATGTGCATGATACAATGGAAAAATACGGTAATCTGTTCGTAGAGCTTTGCCTTTCAAGGCTGCTGTGGAAATGGAATCCGATGGGCTTGCTTACACTCAGCATAATTCCCTTGAGGTCCCCCCAAGGCCTTCCATGTGCTGTAGTTTGGTCCCATTTATTGCCGACTAGTTTCTCGTGGTATGAGTGCACCAGTTTGTGTAACCTGCTGCAGGACACATGGGCTGTTTCCAGTTTGGGGCTATTACAAATACAACTGTTATGAGCATTCACGTACAGCTGTTTGTGTGCATGTAAGTTTTCGTTTCTCTGGGGTAAGTGCCCCTGAGCAGCATTGCTGGGCCCTGTGGTAAGTGCATGTCTTGTTCTATAAGACACGGCCATACTTTTCTGGAGTGGCTGTGCTATTTTACCTTCCCCCGAGCAACGCATGAGTGAGCCAGTTTCTCTGCATCCTCGCCAGCATTCGGTGTTAGTGCCATTTTTTTATTTTCACCTTTCTGACAGGTTAGCAGTGATATCTCTTTGTGATTTTAATTGGCGTTTCCCTAAGGGCTGATGATGTTGAACATCTTTCTGTGTGCTTGCTTACTGGCCACCTGTGTATCCTCTTCAGTGAAATATCTATTAATGTCTTTCGCTGATTTTCTAATTGGATTATTCTGATAAATGTCCATATTGGTTTTAATAATACGTTTTAAAAATATATACAAACTGTAAGAACACATCTTTGAGACAATCGGAGGGAAATAACATGCACTTGGGTCTTAAGTGATATTAAGGAATTAATGTTAATTTCATTAAGTGTGATAAGGCAGGATGGCTGTACACAAAAAGAAGTTCTCATTGGTTGGAATTACGGTCTGAAATACTTAGGGGAGAGGTGGAAGGAACAGATTAAACAAGAGTAGCACAATGTTGGTAATTGTTGCTGTGTGATGCTCAGAGAGCTCATGCTATTCTTTCCTCTTTTATGCACCTTAGGATATTTCCAGAATAAAAATGTTTTTAAACGGTAATGTAATAAAATGTAATTCTGTGATAACATGTTCTCACTACATACCCCAAGTACTATGCACACAAGGTCAACTTTAAGGACTTGTAACCTACACACTCACATAGGGCTTCACGACCAGTTTAACCTTCTGCGATTGCTGTCTTGAAATCCTTCCTAACTGTGAACAAGGGGCCCTGCATTTTCATTTCACACTGGACCCCGCAAATTAGGTGGCTGCAGGTGATCCTGTAAGCACATAACACATGCTGAGTAAATGCTTATCAAAGGAACAGAAGAAAGGAAGAGAAGGGGAAATGGGATGGTGGTAGCAAAAAAAGAGATAACCAGGCTGAAGAAGAGGCAGACAAAGTACCGAGTAGAAAAGTTGAATGGATTTTCCAGGAAATGATGCTGTTGGGGAGACAGGGGGGTCCAGAGAAAAAGGGAGAACCCAAGTGGACAAGTTTGGGGCCATTACTCACCACTCTCCTTCTCAGGAGAATCGTGGCTACAATTCCCGGGTACAAGCAAAGGTGGCAGCAGAAGGAGGTAGCCTCTTGGACTCCAGGGTAAAAGAGGGGGGTGGGGACCAATTCTACCACTGCTCCTTGTTTGTCCCTAGCTCTTAATCCCAGCCTAGAGAGTGCCTTCCATGTCTTCACAGAGGGGTGGGGGAAAGCTAAAACCCTTGGCTCAGAGCAGACCCTCTTCGGCCAAGCCAAGTTCAAGGCTGTGGGTGGCCGGCTCTAGCTGATGCCAGAATGGGAAAGACTGGGAAAGGCGGGGGAGGGGGTTGGAGGGGCAGAGCAGAAGGCAATTGAGGGGAGGATCAAGGGATCAAAAGATCATGAATCATTAAATTTGTAAGTATTCACTAATTACCAACAAGTATTTATTGCCTCCTCCCTGCCCACTAATGAGAGGGAAGTGAAGGAGTGTAAACACACCCCACTCCTCATCCAGGATGCATTCCTGATCCCCACCCTTCTTAGCACAATGTGTCCCCTCTGAACCCGAGCAGCCCTTTGTACCTTGTTCACAACATTCATCACTTTGTACCTTGTCTTACAGTATATAGTTATAGTATATAGTTACTTATATACATGTCGTTCCTCTTTCCAAGAGTGAGATCCTATGGGATTTATTGTATACACCTCAGAGTGCCACATCTAGCAAGCGAACAATGAAAAAATGTATTGTTTTGCGGGTAAGTTCAGGCTGGACAACGCTTGGCCACCGCTGCCTCTGCAGGGGACAGTCACCACACTCACGGCTGGGCCTTTGCATTCAGTAGTTCAGAGGTCCCCAGGCAGATAACACACCAGAGAAAAGGTGCGGAGTCTCCCGTTTGTACAGACTGTATTTGCCACAGATTCACCAAGTCAAGAATTCTGGATTAGGGGTCTCAGGCTTTGCCTGCAGATCATGCAAAATATAGTGGGGATCCACAGCACCCCCAGAAACTGCATATTGTAACCAGAATAAAAAGTACAAAAAGATACCCATATTCAGGGAAAGATGTAACGAAGGTGATTGGGTTAGGAAAAGCACAGAGTCTTCACGTTCACAAGAGCACCCCTTCAGTGGATGCGTGATGAGAGTGGTTAAACATCCGATAGGGGTCAGAATCCCACAGAGGACACGCAGGCCACGCTCAGCCGGCCTCAGAGCGCTAGGGCCTTAGTAGCGAGTGCCGTGGCATCTGAGCCCCGTGGGCCAAGAAGCAACTACATCCTAATGCCAGAGCAGTTTCAGATGAAAAGGTGCAAATCATTGTCATTTAAAGACGGTGAAGTGTTCTCATATATGTACCCGTATACGCTCCAACTAAAGGAGCCACACTGGCCGGGGCACCAACACCCTTTTAGAAGAAGTCACCTGCGCATTGGGCTTCCAGAGCCATTCAGTGAAGAGTGTTACCTTTTACAATCAGTCTCAATGAGTTCATACGAGATAAGCATCCTGATACAGAGCCTGTGATCTTCATTTCCTAATCTTGCCTAATAGGTTGATAACCTTATTTCATTTTCCGACACTCTTTTGCTGCCTTTTCTTAAAACTCCAGACGATGGAGAGAGAGCACCTGACCACTTCTCCAGGGAAGACCGGAATAGCAATCTTAGAATATCATAGGCATGGTGCTGAATTATCATTATGAGGACATCCAAAAAGGGTGTCGAGAGCGGGCTCACAAAGCAGTTAAGAGCCAGGGTGCTGGGCTGGGACTGCAGGCTCAAATCTTGTCCCCACCCTTGATTTTCCTCAAGTTTCTGACCTCACCCATAAAGTGGACATAATAACAGTATCTCTTATTGTCACAGGTGGACACAGGTAATCAGGTTCTTGGTGACTGCGGACAAAAAAATCGAACTGAACACACAGAGTTTATAGCAGAAAGTGAGAGGAAGCAGATTTATTAAGCCACACAGAACATGGGAGCAGGCCAGCTCTGAGCATAGCGGAGCACAGAAGAGCAGAGCAGAGCCTAACAGCAGCAGCCCCGAGCTCCAGGGCTAGAGGGCTTTTATTCCTTAGGGTGAGTCTCCTATGATTTCTTTGATTGGCTACTGGGAAGGGGGTCCCACAATGCTAATTTATTATAATACCATTATAATGAAGCGGGGGTCAGGTAGCATCTCTGCACAGGTGCGTTCCCAATTCACTAGGATTCAGTGCTTTTCCAGATGCAGAAACTACCAGTTTTAGAAGAGGGTCTCCACCCTTTATCCATATTTTTTATCTTAGCCCTGGGGCACCTCTGGAGTTTCCTCCTTCCTGACTATCTCTGGCCTCATTATTACATTATATATATTTTAAGTTGCTTGAAATTTGCGTAAAGTATAATATTTAGCACAGTGAGCAGTGCACACATGTTGGCCACAAGTCTACAGCAGACCCATATTCAGAAACACAAAATCACAGAAACATAGTCTTAGAGAAGCACTCAGCGGTAGACCTCCATTCCCCGCCACTAGAACTCTGTAGACCTCTTCCTCCTCTCTCTCCTCTCTCCCCTCCCTCCCATCTGCTGCGACGGCTCAGGCTACACCCACGACTGTCTTCGGGATCAGATCTGCACCCCATCATCTGCTCCCCCGCTCCGCTTCCCCAGTGTTAACTCTCTGAAGGCAGAGCATCCAGCCTGGTCCATCCTCATCCGAGTCTTGAGGACAAAGTGTGCCTCTAGCCACTCTGCACCTCCAGGCACCCGCCTCACCCAGATTCACTGCTTGACTCCCAGCCGAAGACAGTGGGTCCCCTATCTCCAGTGTGTGTGGTGAGACCGGGCAATACAGCAGCCTTCTAATAAAAGCATTCATCACTGTTTAGTGAGCACCTGCTTTCCGTCAGGACCCGGGTTCAATGCAGGGACTCAGAGAAGATTGAAACTAATCGCTCTCCAGGAGAAGCTCGCGGTAGAGGAAAGGTGTGTAAACAGAAAATTACCATATAAATAGGCAAAGGCCGGGACAGGGGTAGGAAGGCCTGGGTTACAAAGCGGAGACAGCCTCCAAGGCAGGCATCCCTTCAGAGGTGGCTTTTGAAGAATCAACCATTACCCTTGCCAAGAAGCAAACACACAAACTCGTCTTACAGGTCTGCAGAAAACAAGGCCTTCACAGGCAAGCAGCCATGGCAGTGGAAGCAGGACACCCCATCTCAGGCCACAGCAGTGCCCACAGTCTGCAAAGCAGTGTGCGATCGCAGAGCCCGAGCAGACCGTGGTCTCTGCCCCCGGGCACAGTGCTAAATATAAGGCAAGCTGCCCTCAGGGTCGCACGTCCTGAGTAGGCGCGGTGAGGACAGGTGAATTTAACTCCGGTCCTGCGTACAGAGATGCGTGGGGTGGGGAGGAGGAGCAGTCTCAGTTGGGTACTGGAGGGGTCGGGGGGTGGAGTGAGGAAAAGTCAAGGCGGAGCTGTAGGAGGTCAGCCCCAAAGAGAAAAAGGGAAAACGAAGCCCAGGCAGGAACCAAGGGATTGGGGCCAAAGGGAGGGTGGGGCCAGTGGGCTCCACCTCCTCCCCGCCTCCCTCTCCCCCCACAACCTACTTTCTTTGGAGTCTGGTCCAGACAGGTGAGGGAGAAACTCCTAAGGCTGGTGAGAGGTGGCGGGAGGGTTCTGGGACTGGGGCAGGGGTGTAAGGAGGGGGGTCTGGCCCCTTTGCAGAGTCTGCCAGTCCTTGCCGTGCAGAGTTCAGGGAACGCCTGACAGGCTGGTTTGGGGATTCTGCCACCTCTGCGTTACTGCTGTGTTGCAAAGGAGAGAAGCCTGCTCCCCACCAACCTCCCAGCCCCTGTGGTAACTCCAGGCAAAAAACTCGAAATCTGTGTCAGAGTCCGCAGAGGGTGGAGGACCGTCGCAGAAGCGGGGGAGGGGGGGTGAAGGGGGGCGGGGTAGAGTGTTAGGAGGTATCTGGCTTCTGTCCGTGGCCCTAGGCCTTTGTCTGTAAGACTCTCCCATAGCTGGGGCCCTGGGGCGCTGTTCTGTCTATAAGCATTTTTTTCCCCTCCAACTGGAGCAAAGGCCGATTGGAGGAAATGGGAAGATGGGGTCAGACACGGGGTAAGTCCCTCCCCCTACTTGCTCCAACAGGGTCTTACTGGGGACCCCTGATTAGGAAGCTGGGGGGAAGGGTGGAGGTCCAGTGTGAGCAGAAACGGAGAAAGGGCAGGACATACCCCTTCGCCTGTCTTCTAGAGATGCCGCTGAACCCCAAGGCCCCAGGGCCCACCCAGGACTGGATCCAGGATGTGGAATGGTAGAGCTGGAAGGGAGACCCAGGGAAGGAAAAAGGAAGGCAGGCAGAGCCGTGACAGGAAAGTGGGAGCCAGAGGTCTTGGGCAGTTTTCCTGGCTTATTCCACACATACTGATACCTTGGGACAAGAGCGTGGTCCTGCAGAGAATCACAGAGCTGGAGAGGTCACTGCCGATCACTTATTTTAGCCATTTATTTGATTTGAGATTGAAGAACCTGAAACCCCCAAAAGGTGTCTAACATGGTTACTTTGGAATCTGACCCGGTGGTAATGCCAATTGCTAGTTTAGACACAAAACAGCTGTGTATCTTTTTGCAGGAGCCTGGGGACGGGCCATGGTGCCCAGCCAGTTGTGGGGGAGACTGGAGAAGCCACTTCTCTGCCTGTGCTGCGCCTCCTTCCTCCTGGGGCTGGCTTTGCTGGGCATTCAGCCGGACTTTGCCCCTGTCGCTTCCTTCCTTCTGACCTTGGGTTGCTTCTTCTTGTTTGCCTGCCTCCTGGCCTGTTTTCTGGAATGGGTATTCAGCTCAGTGCAGCCAGAGAGTCCAGGGGCCTCAGACAATGCTTGGTGAGTCAAGGGGGGGGGGGGAATTGAAGGAATACTCTGTACCCACTCTCCCTGTGTCTCTAGTATCTCAGACATATGGGCTCTGCTTTCCACCTCTGTCACTGCTATCAGTGAGAGGAGGGGCCTGGGGCTTATGGAGTGGGTCTTTTCTCAGTAGAAGAGAAAAAAGGGGAAAGGGGCTCCTTTGGGGAAGTCTCCAATGACCTTATTTCTCCTCCCTCAGGGATAATGAAGACTTGGAGGTGCCCCCCTACGGAGGGGTCACGGTGTTAGACCCACAGTGCTGCCCCCAAGAGTTGGATGAACCGCCTCCTTACAGCAGTGTCGTAACCACCCCAAGACTTGTAGAGGGACCGCCTTGCCATCCACAGGGGCCCCCGAGAGCCGGAGTGGAAAGGCGAGTGGGCTCAGAGGGGTCTATGACCCGGGGAAGCCCTGGAAGGGCTCCAGTCAGCCTTCGGCTTCGGGGACCCCGAGTCGTGTTCACTGCTCCTGACCTGCAGAGCGTGGACACGCTTCCCAAACGGGAGCCTCTTACTCCACCCCCTGACTATGACGTCAGTTTTGGTCACCCTGATGATGACAATGTTTTCTACGAGGACGACTGGATACCCCCCTAGCGGATTTTCCCAGGATACGTCATCTCTCTGCCAGACATCCCTTCATGTGACCACGTTTCCCAGAGCTGGCTACGTATCAGGAACATCACAAATGGGGGCTTTAACCCAGCAGGGAGTCAGGCTAAGGTAAGCCCTTCCCAACTGAGGTGTAGGTGGCACGATTTGAGTTTTCAGGCAACATTCAGAAGCCCTACCCATGTTCCCTATTTCCAGAGTTAGACTGACGGAGAGATGAGGCCGTGACCCCGAGAACCTGGGGAGGGAAGAAGAGAGTCAACCTCTGAGTGACAGTTATGTTGCTTCTCTTACGGGCACTTTGCTTCTGTTAGGTCACTGATGCTTCTCAGCCTCATGAGGTATTAGTACCCTCATTTGAGAATGAGGATTCCAAGCATCAGGGAAGTTTATTTGCACAAGGGCATAAAAATAACGTCAACTCTGCTCTTCCGATCCCAAAGCCTCTTACATTCATTCTCAAAACAAGGTAGCCAGGCCATCCGCACATCTCTCAGTCTGTCTTGGACAGCTGCTGGTGAGGGGTGGAAGACTTCGTGTAGACGGAATGGGAGACCAGCTTTGTCTGCAAACCGGGTGGACCTAGTAACCCGGAGTGTGCCCGGCCTCCTACAGGAGCAAACCTAATCAAAGCTCTGACGGCCCCTGCTCCACATGCGGAGCAGTTCTGGCCCAGGGGCTAGAGAGCAGTGCCCAAGGAAAGGGTCCCCATCCTATGGGGAAGCAGTGAAGTAAAACTGCCAAGGTTAGGGTCTTCCTATTGTGAGAATGGTGGATAGGTGGGTCAGCTGGGATGAAGCGTGTGCTGCTTGACAGAGATGGCGGAGTACCTAAGGATACTTGAATCATCCCAGGTGACGCCTCGAATCCCTTACACTGACTCTAATCGCTTCAGCCTCACCCCTTCACGCCCACCGCTAGAGTTTTACCCCAGTCCCCGGCCGGCTTCCTCAAATCCCAACAAAACACGACCTTGTCTGGAATCACGTGCTGCGGCTGTGGTGTAGGTTTTAGCCACTAGGAGGGGTTCAATCACCGCTGACCCACCCTCCTCTGGGGTGCGCTCCCCGCTCAGGGCTTCAGTCATTGCGCGGGTACCCGTCGAGCGCCTCCTAGTGCTCTCCGCCTCCTTACCCTGGCCCCCATATTTCAATAAAGTAAGAAGTCGGCCACATCCGTCTCTGCAAAGTTCTTGCAATAGGCCGAGAAGGCAGAGTGGGAGGTCGGGGGCGGGAGCCAGGATTTCCGCGGGAACCCAGGGCCAATCACATTCCCACGTAGGGCGAGCGCGGCTCCAAACTCTTCCCCGCCCCTTCCCTTTCCGCCGGGTACGCTGTCACTCCATTGGACGGCGCATCCACCGCAGGGCTGTGCGCCTGCGCGCACACCAGCGACGGGAGGGGGGCGAGGAGGGCCTCGCTTAGGGGTGGTGCCAACAGAGGTAGGGCGCAGGCGCGGTGTCGGCCGCCAGCCAGGGGAGGGATGCTAAAGACGTTAAGGGTTTGGGTTTCTTGGGGTTGTGGGCGGTGCGCTCAGAGCCCGGGAAAAGCGAGAAATGGCGTCGCCGATCGCGGGCTCGCGGCCCGCCCTGCCCCTGAAGGGGCTAATGACCGCTGACAGGGGATGCAGGTGAGTCAAGGAAGATCCCAGGGGTCCTCAGTGGGGCCCAGGGAAGGGGATCGCAGGTCCCAAGCGTGTGGCCCAGGGAAAGGGATGGTGGGTCCCAAGCATGTGGCCCTGGTGCCTTCCCGACCTTGGATCCCCTAGAAGCAGCCTTATCTGCGCTTCCTGCGATAGGCGGGAAGCCGGGCTCCTCCCCGAGGGGCGCACATCTCGGCCTTGCCCCTCGCTGTCCCAGCCTCGTTTCATCCAACCTAAGGGCTTTGAACAACGGGAGTTCTTTTCAGTCCTGCCAGATCTCGGCTTCTCTTAAAGATTCTCCATCTTTAAATCTTATAGAGGCTTTTTCTTTCCCCTGCTTCCCTTCTGAGCTATACTCAGCCCCCTTAGTCGATGACACCCGCAGGCCTCGGCATCCGGTCTAATGTGCACTTGATTTGCATTGAATAGATCATGAGCCGTATTGTTTTGGGTATAATGACCACATTTTCAAAGCAGTCAGCACAGGCTTTGGGGTGTGAGTACCTTCAAAGGACAAGGAGGTTCCGGAGGCTCCCAGTGTGTCTCCGCCTCTGCCCCAGTTCTTTCCTGTAATGGCAGACCTCACCCGGGATAACATTTTAAATGCTTGCTGGCCCAGACTCAGGTGATTAATTTAGGACATCCTAACTGGAACCTGGAGGAGCACACAGAATCAAGACTGAAGCATTCCCTTTGTGTCCTTTCCTGCACTCCTTCTCCTTGCAGAGGCGTTCTAAGGCTCTAGGTTACTTTGGGAAAGTCCACCTTTGAGATTCTCCACCTAATATGGAACAGAAAGGAGCAGGTGTGTGGAGAACAGATGAGACTTCAGATTAAACCCACGGAGTTTTTGATTGAAAATTCAAGTCTGGAACTTGAAAGAGTTAAGAACCGGGAGTCTATTAGGGACTTGTATGGATGAGACAGACTGGGGGCAGGTTCTTTTGGGGAGTCAGGGGTGGCTTCTCAATAGATACCAACATTCAAGGGCGGGCCAGAGGCCCTCTGGAGGACACAGGAGCCTGTGGGCAGAGAGAGGACCTGGAGAGAGTGGTGTAATGGGCCCCAAGGGAGGGGAACATTGTTTTTTGTTGTTCGTTTGCTTTAGGTTTTTATTCGTCAAAGGTTAACAGCAACAGGTACATACTAAAATGAGTATGGCTAAGCCTTTGACATGTGGCTTTACACTCAAACTTCCAAGAAAATGGCTGTTCAAACAAAGTAAACAAGAGTCTTTTAGAGTAACTAAAAGAAAGTGCTGGTTTCACTTAAAACTAGATTACAGCTGGGCTTGCTACACATAAAACAATGTAAAACAGAATACAAAAGTGGAATGTTTTAAGTTTAAAATGAGTCCTTAGATTTTTATCCTGGAAAATTTCTGTTCACATCCAAAGGCCCGGCACAAGGTTTCACCACGGGGTGGGACAAGAAAAGGCACTTTTTCCAAACCTGAACAAGTCTGGTTGCTTAGCTTTGTGCATAGTTTACGGCAACTGGGGCAGCCTGTTAGAGGCTGCCTACAGGGAGGAGAAAGCTTGAAGAAGAAAATGCTGCTGGTAAGCTAAGGGAAACCAGGGTAAACCTGCTCTGCCATTGGTGTGTATCCTAAGGAAATAGCTAGACACCCGGCTGCATGTGATGTTATCTTGTGGTTGGCCTAATTGCACTTATTTTTACCAGAGTTCATACATATCACTGTTACTGCTTTAGTGTGTTTTAAGGTGATTCTTAAATGGGGGTTTTGATCGGGGTGTCCAACCTTTTGACGTCTTGGGCCATACATTAAATACATTGCGGCACATGATCACACACACACACACAAAATCTCATAATGTTTTAAGTAAGTTTACAATTTTGTGTTGGGCCGTGTTGGTAGCCATCCTGAGCCGTGTGCAGTCCATGGGCTACAGGTTGGACCCCCCTGCCAGATTGTGTTGTTGCAGCAGGTTTTTACTGAAAGTTTAAGGTAACGAGAGTATTTCAGGGAACAAGATGTTAAAATGGAATTCCAAATATCACTGTTCCAAACCCAAACTTTAACCCAAGTAGGCTGCTTCGGTTAAACACTCCCCACCCTGAGAGTGTTTTCCTGACCACCTGCCCTGCCCTAGGATCCCACGTGCCGTCTTCCTGGGTCTCTCTCAGCTCTTTTTCCAAGACCACATTTTTCTCTCCTAACAATAAATCTCTAGCTGAGAGTTAAGCCAAGTGCATCGTATAAAATGCGTGGTATTTCACCGATTCTAAGATACACATTTTAACATCTTTGACTCAGGATGGATCTTTAAATAGGGTTTTAAGTTGTAAACTGCAGCTACTATCCCTTTCCCACTGCCATCAGGCCCACACTGTTGTCGTATGTTTGGAAACTGACTAAACAGGCTGGCGAGCTCTAGATTTATATAAATTAGGCACAGAGATGATATGCATTAAAATGGGATTCTTTTAGTTCATTGAACAGAAACTGATTTCTTTCCAAACCAGTCGCAAAACTAAGGAAACCTTGAAATGGAGACATCCCTAGTAAACTAAATTACCAGAATAGTTTAGCATTTATGTGCTTTGATTCTTAAGTCATTTCAAATTATGGTGATTGTGTCCATCGTTGCTATGTAGCTACTGTGACTTTCTCTCATACTTTGTACTTAACCAGTTCTTAGAGGATTCTGATCCTTTAAAACTTATACTACTTTCAGCAGCTTGAATAAGTAATGTGAAGTGTTTTCTGGAATAATCTCTTGACTGAAATTGGTCTGTCAGAGGACTATTCCTTCTCAGAATATGTGTGCCTTTCTGTGAAGACAGCTATTTCCCTCCCCTAGACAGACCATTTGTCTCAGACGATGCTCTCAGTTGGACGTATTCCATGAAGAATTATGTACACCATTTCCTTATGCTCAATGTGTCACTGCTTAATGCTTCTTTGACTTCCACCCATTGCGACAAAGTGTGCCTCATCTTGGTTCTTGCAAGTCCTGTCCCTTTTGTTCTTCCTGCGCCCGCCTCTTCCACGCCCCGCTTCCATGCCGTGTCTGCCATACTCGACAGCCTTCTGTGCCTTGCGTCGGCAGGGTCCTGGGCGTCTGTGGCATGCATCCCCACCATCAGGAAGCTCTGAAAAGGAACCGAGTGGTGCTGGCCAAGCAGCTGTTGCTGTGTGAACTGTTAGAACATCTCCTGGAGAAAGACATCATCACCTTGGAGATGAGGGAGCACATTCAGGTATCTGGAGGTGAAAGGGAAGAGCCGGGTCAATGGGTCGTAGGAGAAGGAAGAGAGCTTGGTACTCGTGAAAAACAGGCAGCGCCCTACTGAGGAAATGAAGTGCCCTTCTACCCTAGAGCATTTAGCAGAAAAGATGGGTAACTCAGGAATAATGGAAAGGACTTCACCTTTTTTTTTTTTTTTTTTTTTTTTTTTTTAATGAAAGGAACTGATGAGATGGATGGTGACCTTTTTAGGAAGCTCAGCTGGAGAAATAGAATTATAGCTAGATAAGTAAAGAGGCCTTTATATTTTTTTTCTTGTATTATAGGCCAAAGTAGGCAGTTTCAGCCAGAATGTGGAACTCCTCAACTTGCTGCCCAAGAGGGGACCCCAGGCTTTCGATGCCTTCTGTGTGGCCCTGAGGGAGACCAAGCAGGGTCACCTGGAGGATCTGTTGCTCTCAACCCTCTCTGGTCTTCAGCACGTTCTCCCACCGGTATGGAGCCCTAGGCGTGTGGTGTGTTGAGAAGGGTTAGTTTGGTGGGAAAGGAATTTTTGAAACAGGGGAGACGAGATCTGTGTTTTATTTGGACTGGACCATCTCCCTAAGACCTGGCATGGGCATCCTGATTTCTTTCAGTTGAGCCGTGACTACGACTTGGGTCTGTCTTGCCCGGTGTCTGAGTCCTGTCCCCCTCACAAGCAGCTCCGCCTGTCTGCAGGTGAGAATTGATGGGATAAAACAGGTCCCACAAATTAACTTCCCTTTTCTGACCTGGCACCTGGCTGCCCTCATGATGCCTGTTTTCATTCACGTTGGGAACAGTTTCCTCGCTGAATTTGTTTGGGACTAGCAGAGCAGTTTAGATAGGGGACTGCTTAGACTGTTTCCATTCTCTCACAGATGGTGTCTTTTTGGTAACTGGCCCTTGGAACAACTTGTATAGGGAGGAAATTCCTGCATATGGTTGGCCTGTCTCCTCTCTAAAGCTGAGCTGTCATAAAATGAGAATGGCCTACATTATGGGCCACTAGCCTGCTGATTGAGTTGCTTCGTGATTAGAACAAGGCTTTTCTCATATCTTATTCAGTCATTCAGCAAGTTGAACACCTACCGTATACAGGCGGAGTAAACAGGTCTCTGCCCTGAATGGATCTTACAAATTAGGGAGCAAGACCAGTAATTATTAAAACCCCAGTTCAAAGGGTGCCTGAAGCTGCAAGGTACTAGGGTTAATGCATAGATCGTGAGCTAGTTTTTCGGCTTTCTATGCCACAGATACGATGGAACACTCCCTAGACAACCGAGATGGTCCTCCCTGCCTTCAGGTGACACCTTGCACTCCCGAGTTTTATCAAGCACACTTCCAGCAGGTGAGTCTGGCAAAATGGCAACTGGAAAAGAGTTGCAAAATGAGACACCCTTCTTGGGCATCTGGACTTAGTTTGCGTGTACATTTTCTCCCTGCTTTACAAGTCAGAGAGCCTTTGCTGATAGAATGTCTTCTGTGGGCATGTTTCCATCTTGACCTGGTGGAGTTCAGAAGAATCTGATGTCTTCGTTTTCTTGAAATGTCTCATGGGAGGGCATGGTTTCTGTCCCCAGGAAGCTCACAGTCTAACTGACCTCCATTCCCCAGGCCTATAGGCTGCAGTCTCGGCCTCGTGGCCTGGCCCTGGTCCTGAGCAACGTGCACTTCACTGGAGAGAAGGACCTGGAATTCCGCTCTGGAGGGGATGTGGACCACAACACCCTAGTCGCCCTCTTCAAGCTCTTGGGCTACCAGGTCCACGTTCTGCTGGACCAGACTGCACAGGTACCCGCCGCAACCTTCAGGGCCGGAAGCGCCTGCTGCTCCTCCGCCTGCTGGGCTCTCCCAGACTAGTTACTGCCTCTCCTCACCTTTTTGCTCACTCTTTTCTGCCTCTCACCCGCAATCTAGTTAAAAAACAAGAACAAGGCTTAGCCAGCTGCTTCCCTGTTGACCCCCTGCAGTCGCTATGCTCTCCCCCAGTAAAAGTCCTGGGTTGCGTTTTCCTTTTTCCAGGTTCAGCAGGTTAATCCTCAGTCACTCAGGAGGTGGGGGGACACTGAGAGTCACCCAGCCGACTCAGAAAGACCCTCCTAAGCCAGGGCTGCACAGTCTATTGTTGTAAAGGTGACTTTGGCGGCTAAAATTCTTAGAAATGAAAGTTTCCTGGAACTGTCCTTGTAAATACTGTTTTGGGCAGTTGAACAAATTGGCCTGTGGGAAAATCCCTTATTTTTATCATTGTGTGGCCACAAAGCAGATCTCAGGGTGGATTACTTCTGGACTAGATTCCTGCACATCATAAGCATTTTCATTATAGGTTATTCTTCGTTAACCTCAATTATCCAGCTGCATGCCTGGCTTTATTACCTCTGGCTATTTCTGCTTTGAAATTGATAATAGCCTCTTAGTGAATTAATACTAATTCTTCGCTTTGATTCCAGAATAATAGTACTTTTCCTAAACTTGCTTTTGGCAACGTCAGTGGTAAAGTTAACGTTTCCGGGAGATTTGCTTTGATGTGTGGAGGCAGGGTCTTGCTTTGTCTTCAGCGTTGTGTGTGGTCTCCGCTTCTGTTTTCCAGCTGTCTTGCTTCTTGGGGAAAGTTAGGTGTCGCCCCACTTTTGGTGAGGTCAGGAGGCACTCAGGCGCCCTCCTTCCCAGCAGCCGCCGGTGCAGAGGCGCGAAGCCACGCGGGCCTCTGAGCCGGGGCTGGCAGAGCCTCGGTCGGGTCTGCTGGGCGCGGAGGGAGCGAGGCAGGGGCGTCGGCCACGGTTCCTGCAGAGGGGAGCCTGTGAGAAAACCGCTTAAATGCTCTCCACGCTCCCTCGCCGCTTTTGCTCCAGTCGTTCCTTTCACTGGGAATTGGTGATGTCCTGGTTTTCCAAATCGTGTCCAGTCGTTAGGGCTCTTACGTGCATGACCGTGAAAGCTGCAATCCTGAACAGTCCTGAGGCACCAAGGCAGCCGTACGCTGCTGTTTCCAGAGACAGTCGCCAGAACTGACGGACCCGTGAGCCCACTTCACCAGCGCCATTCCTGTTGGTGCTAAACCTGACGCAGACTCAAGGACCTCCTGGACCCTCGTCCCCTGGGCACAGTGTTCTGCAGTGGCGGAGCATCAAACACTGAGAGTGCCTTAGCGTGGGGCAGGCTGTGTTAGGTGCCAGAGATTTAAAATCTGGGCCTTGAGTGCTAGGGACCTCGGTTGGAAAAGGAAGCACATCTCTTGTATTCCCAAGAGCCAGGCAAGATTGGAGACAGTGTCTTCGACAGGAGTTAAGAGGAAGAAACAATAGCAGGGGTAGATATGGTCTGAAGGATAAATGGAGACTTGAACCAGCCTGGAAGGATAGAAGCTCCTAAGGAGCCAGGAGCGGTGCAGGGAGTCTAGTCCGGGAGTGCCAGCTGGAGGAGGTGTGTGTGATGTTAGGGACCTAGTGGGTAAATCAAATGCCTAGGGCAAAGGAGTGCCAAAGATAAAATTAGAGATAATGGGACCAGATGCACAGGGCCTTGAAAGTCTTCTCAGAGGAATTAGATGTCCTTGTTTTGACATTAACATCATTAGCGATTCTTGAACGGAAAGTGACGGAGGCGTTATTCATGTGATGGTTCAGGAAGACTACTGTGACGCTATCGTAAAGAACGGAGTAAGGCCAGGGGAAGGAAACCCAGCTCGGCGTGAACACCATCATGGCAACACGAGATGGCGAGGGCCTGGACAGTGCAGTGGACCGAAAGGGAAGGGATACACGTGAGAAGAGTATAATGACACAGGTGCACTTTCCGTGGCTGGTACATACAGAGGGGGATGGGAAAACTAAGTAGGAATTGAGGGCCTCGGGAAGTCAAGACCGGGGCTGAGTGAGCCAGATTCTTAAGTTGGGCTACAACGTTGACCAGTAATGGGTTGTTTTTGTGAAAAAATGATCATAGTGTTACCCTTCAGTAGACACGCACATATTAGTGGCAGATCTTTGCAGTTTGTGCCAGACATAGCTACAAATCCTTTTTTTCTTCTTACAAATGGATATTAGAGCCTTGAGGGGCTTAATAACTTGTACCAGTTTTGAATGCAGGGATCAAACTTCAGTTCTTCTGAACCTGTAGTCATGGTGCATGTAGTCCTGGCCCTGACAGAATCTTCCAGACAGCGTGCTCCTCCCTGAACCGGCGTTTATACAGACAGCATTGCTGTCCCTGGGCACGTCAGCGCTCAGAAAACAGCACAGGGGGACCGGTGCTCTGCCATCGTAGTTCCGTTAGCCCTTTGTCGCAGAGCAGTTTGTTTTCTCATAGCCCCGTAGGTGACCCTCATTCACGGCTCCACAGGGGCCCCCGCTCCCCGTGCCACTCGTGTGCAAGGGCGTTAGGTGATTGGGGAATGGATAAAGTTAACTAGCTCTTGATTAGCTTCGTTAGTGACTTGCTCTAATCCAGGAGTTAACCTGTCGCAGTCTGTGAATTTGGGGCAGTTATAATCAGAATTCTGGTCTAAGGTCACGCATTTTCTGGTGAGTCCCTGCTGGCTTTAGCCTCTCAGAGGGTCTCTGACTTCATGTATCATTGACCACAGAAAAGCGTGCAGCGGTGCCAATGGCAGCAAACAACACTAAAAGGGGTCTTTCTTCCAGGAAATGGAAGAGAAACTCCAGAAGTTTGCCCAGTTGCCCACTCACTGTGTCACCGACTCCTGCATAGTGGCCCTGCTCTCTCACGGCCTGGAGGGCGGCGTCTACGGTGTGGACGGCAAGGTGCTTCAGGTGCGTGCCGTGGCGGGCACTGCTCGGAAGGCGGCTCGTGCCCCCCTCGGCTGCCAGCTGCCCAGCGCTGGCCGCTGTGGCGGGTGCAGCGCTCGGGGGACCCTGCTGAGCACTTAACCCCACTTCCTCCTCGTTTCCTTCTGGCAGCTGCAAGAGGTTTTTCGGCTCTTTGACAATGCCCACTGCCCGAGCCTCCAGAACAAGCCGAAGATGTTCTTCATCCAGGCCTGCCGCGGAGGTGAGTGCCCGAGGCCCGGCCCGGGGAGGTGGCTCCTGGGCAGCTCCCCCAGCCCTCACTTTCCTGTTTGCTCCTCTCAGGTGCTATTGGATCCCTTGGGCACCTCCTTCTGTTCACTGCTGCCACCGCCTCTCTTGCTCTGTAAGTGTCCCCGACGCATGGGGTGTGCTGGGACTTGGCAGCCCGTGGCTCTCAGGTCGGTCAGCTCTCTGCACCGCCAGGCCCTGCTCTCAGGGCTCTTGTTGCTGTCTTTGCCTCCTTTTCTGAGGACTCTGGCTTTTTTCTGTGCTTATCAGTAACCCTGATGCGCTTTTTTTTGTTACCCCTTCCAGTTACGGATTTTCCGCCCCTCCTTCCTGTCCCCCTCGCTTCATCGCCTTCCTCTCTTCCTTCCTCCCTCTCTCGTCCCCCTTTGCACTTCCTCCTTTTCCTTCCTACCTGCCCTGCCCATCTCGCCTCCGGCCCCTGTCCATCACCCATGCGCCGTGCAGGAGAGCAGGCGCCAGGTCTGCCGACCCTTCTCCTGAGCTGCGCCCCTCCCTCTTCTCTCTTGCCCGCAGCCTCTGCCCAGGAGTCCCTGACAAGGCTCAGCAGACGCACGGGCGTGCCTCCCACCGGGGAGGGAGCCCGTAGGAATGCAAGTTCTAACTGCATGTCAGATTCTGCCTCTACCCCTGACTCGCTAGGTCACGTTAGAGAGGCCACTTGATGTCTGTCTGTTTTCATTCCCTTGATATAAAGTGTAGATAATCATCAGGCCTATTTCATGGAGTTGTGATTATTAAGTGAAGTAATATGTATAATCTGTTTGAAGGGCTTGCGTAGCACGGTAGCTGGCTCTTAGTAAATCCACAAAAAATGCCAGCTGTGGCTGTTGAAACATGACCAGCGCCTTCAGGGGGCTCGTAGTTGGATTTAAGTTCACTCTGTCCAAATAGTCAGATAATTTTTTTAAACCGTTGCATGTTCAACACATGTCAATGATTGATGATGTTTTTATTCTCCTCATATCACCAAAGAATATAATTTATTAAGGTCCTACAACAAGACCAGGACTACATTAGGTACTATCACAAAAGCAAATGAAAATGTGGTCTCTCCAGAGCACCTACTAATTACTAGGAAAATAAAGCAAACGTACATGAAGTACTTTCAGAATCGTTCAAAGGCCTCAAGTCAGCAAGGGTGAAATTAGTGAAATACAGACCGTGCATAAGAAGACGTAAGCCATGAGGAATGGGTCGTTTTTAAGTCAGCTTAGTTTGAAGAGGTTTTGTGGCTAGGGTGAGGCTTAATTTGGACCCATACGTGTGGAGCAACAGATAGAGCCTTTCAGGAGTAAAGGAGGAATATAATATGACCGTGGTTGGATCAAGAGAAGCCCCCCGCCCTCGAATGGTGTGCTGAGTCAGAAGCAAATGGATCTAATGAGTATGTAGTGAGTATTTAGTGAAGTGTGGCTCACCACATCAGGTCAGCCAGCTGATGATAAACATTTAGCCACAGCTGAGATTTTTGGGGCTTCTGCAGATAATAGTATGGAGCTTTTGGGAGCTTAAGTCAGAAACTAGGTGATTTTTTTTTTCCTGGGCATCACCATGGCAGGAAGCTGCACTAAGAAAAGAGTGTGTGGGGACAGGAACTGGCTTTTATTCACCTGCATTCCTGGTCCCAGAGCGTTGCCTGATAGATATATGTGGTAGCCCTTAATAAATAATGAATGGATGAAGATTCTTGCAATAACACAGAAAACAGATATGGGAATATTGTAAAGAAAGAATCAGTAACATTTATTGATTCATGGATCTGAAGGCAAGAGAGGAGTCTCCTTTCTCTTGAGGGACACATGCAGCTTGTCCTAGTTCCTTCAGGTCGTATCACCAGCAAAATAAAATGAAATACACAGTCATTGTCTCCCATATTCAGAGAGACATACGTTTCTAGACCTCAGTAGAGAGAAATTGTTCTTTTCTGGGGCAGTCGGGGTCTTCTCTTTAAAATTACATACTTTAGGGGACGACCAGGAGCTAGCTGTTCCGTGACAACAAGCTCACCTGTCTTCTGTATTTAGTTCACGTAACCGATGTCGGTAGAAAGTGCCACCCCCGGCCCCGTTGCCTGGTGCCTCAGCTGGAGAGGAAGCTCTGGGAGGCAGAAGTCTTTATCCCTACGGCTTAGCGCCAAAGCAGTGCCTGGCGCATGGCGGCTGCTCAGCACCTTTTTGTTGGATCAGTGAACCTTGCCCATTTCCCCCGCAGTTCTTCCAGCTTCTCTTTCCTTCTAGGCGCTCTTGAGTGTTGCGTGGAGCTGCAGCGTTGTGAAAGAGCATACTTTCCATCTTTCGTGTGATGAGCTCTATCCTGCCTGTTTCGTTCCTACCAGTGTCCCCCTCACACACACCCCCACAATAAAACATGAAAATAAGTGTATGTCTGGGAATAGATAAGGCCTTGGTCAGAAGTGGGGCAGGGGGTGTGCTCAGGGTAGGTTGAGAAACTCCTGCTAAAACTGAATAGTAGCGTTAGGGTTTTCCTCTTTAAATTGCTCTGAAATCTTGGATGCCTGGCACAATTTGATTTATGAAATTAATAAACAAGTGATTTAAAAATACCAAAAATGCCTTGGAAACAGCTGTTTGGGCTTTGTTTTATAATCTTTTTATTGATACAGACTTTACATGGCACACATGTCATGATCTTATTTTTGGCTTATTGTTCTTTCTTTTACAACAAAACTAAATATATCTGCCCTGCGGAGTGTGCCTCAGTGGATTGAGCGCTGGATTGCAAACCAAAAGATCGCCGGTTCGATTCCCAGGCAGGACACGTGCCTGGGTTATAAGCCAGGTCTCCTGTAGGGGGCACTCAAGAGGCAACCATGCATTGATGTTTCCCTCTCTTCCTTCCCCTCTCCCTAAAAATAAACAAAATCATTTAAAAAATTTTTGTAAACTAAATGTATCAATATTCTGTTGTGTATTACAATAAAAAGCGCCATGACTTCCAGGTACATTGTTCAGTGAGCAAGTGAATAATGAACATAGACCGTTTCAGTTCTGTTTACCAGGGGCTTGGGATGCAGCACCTCCCCCGCCCATAGGACGGATGGCTCAGACCATGTGTGTGTGCACCCCAAGCATCGGATGCTTATGGGGAGAGGGGGCTTTCGTGTTTTAATTCATCAGCCCTAGGTTGGAAGCAACCGCTGGAAATGGCTCTTCCCAGCCAAGGTTGTGGGGAACTTGGGCTTGCCTGTGACGGGCCCAAGAGAGATGCGAGGAAATAACATCCTTGTCCATTCTATCTGCCTTCCTACAGATGAAACCGATCGTGGGGTCGACCAGCAGGACGGAAAGAGCAGTGCCGCGTCCCCTGAGTGCGAGGAGAGTGATGCCAGTAGGCAGGAGCTGCTGAAGATGCGGCTGCCCACTCTCTCAGACATGATATGTGGCTACGCCTGCCTCAAAGGTACTGCGAGTTCCAGAAGAGCGGTCCAAACGATTACACTCTCTTACACACTTGCACCTTTTCACATAAGGCTCTCTGATGGGGGTGGAGGTGGTACAGGGGGCCACGGACGACTAGTTTGGAACGTCCAGCTGTGTGAGGAGGGTATCCTGTGACCTTCACACTGGTTACTACTGTCCTGGTTGCAGGGACTGCCGCCATGCGTAACACCAAACGGGGTTCCTGGTACGTCGAGGCCCTCGCCCAAGTCTTCTCTGAGAGGGCTTGTGACACGCACGTGGCCGACATGCTTGTCAAGGTCAGTCGGCTCAGCCTGGCCCCGCGAACCTCGGGGCCCCCCGACGGTGTTCCCCCTTTCTCCTCCCCACACTGTGTCTCACAGCCTCTCCACCCTTCCTGTAGTACTGATACCAGGAAAACACCCGGTTCTCAGACTTTGGACCCTTGGGGGGGGTTTTTGCCTTTCCAGGTAAATGGACTTATCAAGGAGCGGGAAGGCTACGCCCCCGGCACCGAGTTCCACCGATGCAAGGAGATGTCGGAGTACTGTAGCTCCCTGTGCCGCCACCTCTACCTGTTCCCAGGACATCCTCCCATGTGAGGCCACCTCAGGCCAGGACTGCAGGAGGCGTGGTGGAGCCTCTTCAGGATTAGACGTTCTGTCCTTCCCCCTCAGGGACTGGGGGTCCCGTGACCAGCGTCTTCGCCGTGGAGTCGGGGACTGTGGCTGGCTCCTGCTGTCGGGGGCTCGCTCCCCGGGGGGCCGGCGGCCCTGGCTGGACCGGTTGCCGGGAGCTTGGCTGCAGGACAGGAGCCTGGCAGCAGGTGCTGGACACACCGTCCTGACAGGGAGCGGCGTGCAGTCTCCTCGATGGGTGTGCTCCCTTTCTGCCCCGGCTCCTGCAGGTGGCACTTGAGTCACTGCTCTTATCACATCGGTCAAGACATCTCAGAGGTCACCCCCTGTCCTTCCTATCCCGGCCCACTTTTCTAGGAGAGTTTGGAAGGCGTTCTTGTTTAATATAGGCATTAGAAGGGACAAACAGGACCAGAGACAGACTGTGCTGCTGTGTGTGTGTGGAAACGACCTGCGTGCTCCTTCAGGATGGCAAGGCCACCACGGAAGGGACAGTCTCCCGTGGGCTCCAGGCATCCAGGCTTTCGGCAGAGACGGGGCTGGGACCCCTCGCATCTGTCACGCGTTGGTCTTGGCCCAGGGAAGTCCAAAGGTCTTTCCTCGGAGCTTTGACAGAAGCAGGCCCGACGGAGAGTGCCAGCCAAGGTTACAGGTATCGCTGTGACCTGTCTCCTTATCTTCTTCCTAAGAAACGTCCCTTTCTATATAGAGCTGCCTACTTGTCACCTCCCTGCTTCCTGTTTCTCCTCTGTTCATTTCATCCTGTTCACAGCTGCCTCCAGACCTGTCTAAAATGCAACTTCCTTGGGCCGTGGGGCTGGTGAGGATGCAGTGCAGCACCCTGTCCCCGCTTCCTGTTTCAGCTCTGAACCCCCGTTTGATTTTGTCTGGCCTCTCTCCCTGTCTCCACGTCTCTCCAGTTCAGGAGGCCTTTGCTCTATTGGTGTCCGTGTTGTTGACCCTGGGAGCTGGCTCTGTCTCTGTGGATGAGATACCCCTTTGGTGTCAGTATGACAGATTTTGGGTTTTAAATAAAAATCTGATCATCTCACTCCCCTGCTTGGAACCCTTTGGTTTCTTATTAAACCTCAAATAAAATCCGAACTCCTTACCTTGGCCTGCGGGCCCCTGCCTCCTGCTTAGACCTCCCCAAGTGTGGCTGTCCCTCTAAGGGACACATACTCTGAGTCCTTTCCTGTCCTGGGCCATCGCAGACACTCCTGGGCCTACTGAGTGCCACCCCTCCCCACTCTGGGCTTAGGTGGTTTTTCTCGAGTCCCAGTTTGAATGCCACTTCCTTGTGGAGGCCTTCTTAAGCTGTTCTCTCTAAATGGTTTTCTATGTTTATCACTGTGCCCTGTTTATTCCCTTTGCTGTGCTTTTCATAACCTACAATGATATATTTACTTGCTTGCCTGTTCATTTCTGTCTCCCCCACCAGGCTGTAAGCTCTATGAGAGGAAAAAGTTTGTCTCTCTCGTTCAGCAATACGTACCCAGTGCCTGGCACTTCAGTAAACGTTTGTGAAGGAAGCAGCCCTAGCTAGAATCCTCCCTTTTGACAATACGCAGTTTGAGATTAGTACTCTGGATTTTTCTTTCATGTGTTTTGTTTCATCCACTGGTGTTATGAATTCCTGAAGACATGCATGTCACATGCGAGACAACGTCCTCCACATCTCAAGGTGCCTGGCACAGCGCTCGGCCTGTATAATAGTTGAGGTGCTCAATAAATACTTGTTCCGCGAGCCACGGTGGTTCGGAGACTTGTGGCTAAGTCCCACCTACCCTTGGATCAGTGTTGTATGCAGATAAAACCTTCCCAGTTCCCACTGCCAGGATGTTGTATTGCTGTCAGGTGCCAAATACATGCTCTTATTTATTACCGAGTGTGTCCGATGTCTCTGTGTCCGTAGATAATCGCGTGATGCCGGCGTGTTTTCCTTGGCCCAGTACAGGGCGTACCCCTTCTCACTCTGCCGCCAGATTGTTTTATATGAACAGACCCACACCTGAGATGAGCTCGTCTCAGTGGCATGACCACAGGCATCTGCCCAGTACGGCCAGCAGTGGGCTGTCTCACGGTCAGAAGAGACGGAAGTCATCAGCAGGCCATGTTGGTCCTGGATTATTTCAAGTGTGGGGTGAGGGCTGGAGAAACACTGGGCTGGAGTCGGAGGACGAAGCAGCTCGTAGAATTCCTTGCCTCACGTGGTCTGATTTCGATTGAAGATTTTCCGGGGTGGGCGCTGGGAAGAGGATTCTCGGGCAGCCAGCGTGCGACCTCAGCAGTGGGCTCTGTATACTTTGGGGAATTCGGGTGTGACGCCTCCGAAGGGCAGACCTGGAGAGGCAAGCGCCCCAGTGCAGACGGGCTGTGGAAGCCTGGCAAGAGGTGGGACGTTCCACAGGAGCCTGTAGTAGGAAGAGCCCTGGGACTCAGAAGTTGAATACAGAGGAGAGAGAGCAAGAAGGGACTAAGACTGAAGCACCCCACCTGGTGGGGGAGGGGAACTGGCTGGAGCGGAGCCCTGGGGGCAAAGGGCATGAGGAAGGGCTTGAGGTTGGCTGTACTGTGAGAAACGACAGTGGGAAGTCCTCAAGGGAGGGAGGAATACAACGTCTAGGAGAGGTTAAAAAAAGTACTGGAATAGCGGGAATAAGCTGAGTCCCCATTTTCGGGACAGGAAGGCTTTAGGAGGTATGATAAATGTGGGAATTATAGGGCAGCATCTGTCTGAGCTGGATTCCATGGCCTCCCCACCCCCGCCCTTGAATACGGGTGTCAGGTGGAGTTTCACCGTCTGTGCCCTTCCCCCCATGCCCACCTCTGCCAGGGGATTCTCTTCTAAAATTAGCTCCCTGAGCCAGGGGCTGCCCTCCCGGCCTCCTCCAGCCTGTTTCCTCCAACCGCCAAAGGAACAGGAAGAAATGAAGCGAATGGGGCATGGGCAGAAGGGAGGCCTCCACGCTGGGGAGGGAGGCTGCAGTAGCTCCAGCCGACCGGAGTGTCGCGGGCACTGTGCCTGCAGCCGCTCCGTCCTCCCTGCAGTCCCACAAGGCAGTCGCTTTCCCATTTCAGAGAAGAGGGAAATGAGGCTCAAAGACTGCAATTATACAAACAAGGAGGGAATGACCCTGTTGGTTGGTTAGAGCATCATTCCTAATACGCCAAGATAGCCGGTTCGATCCCCGGTCAGGGCACATACAGGAGTCAACCAATGAATGCATAAGTTAAGTGGAACAACAAATTGATGCCCCCCTTTCCTCTCCAAAATCAATTAAAAATTGTTTTTTTATTTTAAAAAAGGAAAAAAATGAAAGGACATGAACTAGGAATCAAATAGATTTTGAATTCTGACTCACCCTTTGAAGATACTAGAGACCTAGCTGAGGTACCTAACCTCACAGAACATCAGTCTCCCGTATCTAAAAATGAGGAAAATTATTTCTACCTTCAAAGGTCCCTATGAGGATTAAATGTGATGGCGTACAGTAAATCGCATGGTGTTAGCACAGTAACTAGCTCACAAAATGAGCTTCAGTTTAGTAACCCGAGTTCACGTTCACCGCGGGAGCGAACACTATGGTAACTTTTTTGCGGGCATTCTTTTATCTCCATAACCCTCTGAGTCACTGCCTTTCTGAGGACACTGAAGGCAGCCTGCGAAGCAATCTCACCTTGAGCGCACCCGTTTTGCTTCTGTGACTTTTTTTCTTAGCATGAGATTTTTTTTCCCCCTCCTCACCTTTGGAAGCTATAGATTTTTTTTCCCACTGAGCTGGGAAAATGAACCGGAGACCAAAGACTTTATTATTATTCCATCTCAGCCCTAGTTAGGGAGGGAAGAGGGAGGAAAAAGAAGTGTATCATGCTTGAAAAACCAGAAGAGGGAGAAAGAGGCCTGCTCAGTGCTATCGGTAGGGCCTCTTGCTGGGCACGGGAAGGAACCAAGGATGTTTCAAGGATCTGGTAGGCAGGGTCCAGTAAGGAGTACGGGAGGAATGATCGTCTTTCGGTCGCTTCGACAACCTTCCTTCCCATAGCAATTCCATAAGCCTATAGGTTTTACTCTTTTAGTATCATGGACCCCAGAAGAATATGTATCATATACAGTATTTGTATTTTATAGAATACACGCATGCTTATGAATTTGTTTCCAAATTGAGCTCGTCACAGAACTCCCTAGAAATCCATCTTTGGGATCCAAATAAGAGCCTAAGCACTAAGAACCGACAAGGGGGTGAGTTGGGGAGGGTGGGCATAGCCTACATTTTATTCTCTTGTTCTCTTGCAGGATGATAACCCGTGAGATCTTAACTATCTAGAGTTGCAAACTCAAGGTGATGCCCCTCACATCCTACACAAGCAGCTATAGGTTTCCTTGACCTTCCTCATTTCCGAGTCTGGTTCTCAGAAAAGCAGCAGGTGCTTCTGCTCGGCTCAGTCCAGGTTGAGAGCTGCCCAGTCCCACAGATCCAGCCTCCAGCCCGTGGAATCTGTAACCAGGACCTGACTTTCTCTGGAAGAGTGAAGAAATAGTAATTGCCTTAGATATTTGTTTCTTGGGATTATCAAGACCCTATAGAAGCTGGAGACCTTCAGGAGAGCCATACTCAACAAACAGGTGAAAATCTTTCCTGCTTCTGATGTGCGCACCCCCCTCACCCCCAAAAGTAATTTCACTCTGGCACTGTATTTTCTTAAAGACGGTATTCGTTTCATCTCACGCCAAACCCATAAAACTCTTTCCTTATTTGCTGCCTGCTGAGGTGGTAGGCGTCACAGAACTTTTGGTCCCTCAAAGGGCCACGCGGTTATCTTTGTGGGTGGGTCACAAGCCTCCAGCTTGGAGGATTTGTGTGACAAAAGGTGCTTTGGCTGGTTTCCGTCTTCCCACCCGCTTTGGACAGGTCCATTTGGCCTAGGTCCAAATTCACTTATAGGCCAGATGTTCAGTGTTCCTACGCTAACGTGCCTGAACTTGGACTGTCCTGGGACAGACCTCACTTGGTGATGGACCCTAAACTACACCCTGGCTCCTGTTTCTAGCTTTTCTTCTATCGCAAGGAGTTTCACAGGAGAAAGAATGTCCTAGGAAAGTTGGCAAAAGAAAAAAAAAATGAGATGCCAGATAGTTTGCCCTTGGCCAGAAATGATTTATGGACCTGAAGAAGAGAACAGCAAAGCACTTCCCCATCATCCTTTATATTTGTCATGAGAATTACTCCCCGCCGCCCCGTCCTCCTACCCTTGGCCCCCTTCCCCTTCCTCTCACCACCTAGCCCCACCAGGTAGGCCAGCGGGTGCTCCTCAGTCCACGCAGAAGCCCAGCCGCTCCCCATAAACCCAGGCTGCTGGTGGGGCTGACACCAGACTGGGAAGTGGGAGAAATACCAGAAGCCTAGGCGCCCCCACCCATATTCCCGATAGCGCCCCCCCACCGAGTGGGCGAGAGATCAGGTGGGGTCCAGGGGTGGCACTGAAGTGTGATGAGCAGCCCCTGGTAGACAGGAAAGGCAGAGCTGGAGGGGAAAACGGAACATGGGACGGGTGGGGAGAGGTGGTCCAGCGGATGAGGACTGAACCTCGGTTAGATACGGAGCTGGAAAGCACCCAGCAGGGGAAGATGGCTCAGGGGCCTCGGTTACTCCCCCAGGTGAGTTACTGTCCAGTGTTTCCGGGCATTGGAATCACTGTCCAGCACGGAAGCCTCACCTTCCACTTACTGGAGAAGAAAGATGGGACATTTTCTTTCTTTTTCTTTCTTTTGAGAGACGGGACACTTAACTGGTGCAGGTTTACCACACTCTGGGAGCACACAGGTTTGAGAGCATGCTAAACAGTTTTCCTTCCTGGTCTGGGCTATATTTACAGAGGGACCAGTGGCTTGGGGCTGGAAGCCTCCTAGTGCCCAGGGAGGGGGCAGTGCTGCAGCCCAGCTGAGGGAACTCCCTGTGGGGCTGTCCCTCAGGTCGTCACCCCCAGCCCCCTCCCCCGCAGCGCGCTCACACCTGCTTCGACCCCAAGCAGATCAGATGTGGCAGTGTGGGGGGTCATGTGATGGAGAGATAGCTATAAATAGCTGGGGGTGGGCATGCTGCCCCAGACGCCTTGGGGACAGGCAAGAGGACAGGCCTAAGGAGCTGTACTGGGGGAAGCACGGGGCAAGAAGGCCAAGACCTGGCCGGGGGAGGGAGCATGGATCCATCAGGGTCCCAGCAGCGTGGGGGCGAACAAAGCTGGTGGGGCAGTGCCCCCCAGTACCAGTACGTGCCCTTCGAACACTGCACCAGCTACGGACTGCCCTCCGAGAACGGGGGCCTCCAGCACAGGCACCGGAGGGATGGCGGCCCCCATCCCAACACCCACCCCCGACAGGTAAAGTCCTACGGGGAGGGGCGGTGGGGTGGAGGAGCTGGTGGGGGGACTGATTAGGGGAAATAGGAATTGGGTGAAAAGAACTTGGAGCACTGTTATTTTTTTTTTTAACTTAAAAAAGAGAATGGCAATATGTTCAAAGTATGACGAGCGTTCAAAGGGCTGGGCCCAGCTTGGGATACACATGTCTGTCCTTCTATAACAACTTTGCCAGCAGATCCCCAAAATCCTATGGGGACGGCAGAGCCACACATGCACCAGGAGCTCATGCTTATTACATAAGCTACACGAGTGGTTGGCCGAGGAGCCCATGGCTCTGCACGTGCAAGCTCCCGCACACCCTCGCCCACAGGCAGGGCCCGCCACACGCGGCTGCGTTCTCGTTAACCAAACCCGCACGCAGCTCCCCTTTCAGACTGGACGCCTCCTCCTCTCCGCAGCCGGGCTTGGCAGCGGCGGTTGGCCCTGAACCAGCCAGCACAGATTTGACTCCTTCAGTGTTCTCTGGGCTTGGTATGGAGCCTTGGTATGGACCCTGGGACCCAAAGGAGTGAGGCAGCTTGTGGAAGGGTGTGCACTGAGTGCCGCTGCTAGGTAGTGTCTTTTCACTGTGTCCCAGGTGGGGCATGGACGGAAACACTACCTCCCTGGATCACTAACCTCATTCCAGGACATGAAACTGCCATGAACAGAGCAATTAGTGCATGCCTGTCCACTTCTCGGGCTTCAGCTCTGCTGTGTGTATTGTGAAATCAGATCTCTCCTACCCGGGCTCTCCCAGAACCTGCGACAAGGCCTGGCCTGACCCTGGCCCCAGGGGAGGGAGTTGGCGCAGTGCGGGTGGGGCCGGCTAAAGGCAGGTACGGCCCTGGCTCCCTCTGCCCCCAGCACGCCTGCTGCACCCGGGGATGGGAGCGGACGGCTGCTTGATCTGCGGGGCGCGCCTCCTCCCTGTTCACATTTGGGGGGGTATCTAATGACCCTGCTTGGGAAGAAGTGGATGGACCTGCCTTCTCAGGACTGGTCCCTGTTTGTGCACGCGCGCCCAGCGGGTGAGGGGCAAGCTCGGCTGAGCTTCCGAGGGCCCTTCAGCAAGGCCATGTACACTGGGGGGCGCCACCAAGAGTCTCCACGTCAGCAGTCCTAGGAGGGGACATTAGAGAGACAGGCTGAGACAGAGTAAACAGAGAGATAAAGAAAACTCATGGACACAGAGGCACAGCCTTCTAGCTCTACTTCAGTGTGGAGATTGGCCTCCTTGACGCAGGCTGCCAAGCACCAAGCTCAGTACAGATAGAAAGAGGGCAAGGGCGGGCAGACGGGGGCACAGAGAGGGGAGGGGGCAGTGGACGGAGAGGGGGCCGAGGGGGCACCGAGGGCCGTGGAGAGATCTTCCGTGAGGCCCTCAACACCCAGGTTTGGAAAAAGCTGTTCTTCTCTGTGAGTCTGCGTGTTTCCCTCTATCCCTTTTGACTCTCCCACATAACAGACATTTCCCATTCTCCTTCTGTCCAGATTTATGGCCATCGCAAGGAACAGTTGCCAGACAAGGAGCAGGACACGGGGACACCCAAGCAGATGGGCTCCAGGGCTACCGTGGACAGCGCAGAGGAGGACCACTACTCTAAGTGCCAAGGTGACGGGACCGAGCAGGACAGGAACGTGCAACAAAAGGAGGGACAGGGCTTTGGAGAGTAAATGGGAGGCCCCGTTGCATGGGTCCCACCCTGCCCTCCGGACGGGTGCCACAAAGCCCTCCTCCCAGGATTAAGGAGAGGCGTCTTTCCTGTTCCTTCTCCTATTGCCTTGTTCCCCACCTTCCCTCCCACCCAGCCCCAAGAAATGAGCTTTGGAAAAGTAGTCAAGGATCCAGTAGGGAACTGGCCTTCAGTGCCTTTGGAAGGGGCAGCACCTGGCAGAGAAGGGAAGAGAAACTCGGTGACTGAGACACGCAGACAAGACCCTACGTGACTGAGTCACAGAGACGAGACCTCCCCTCCAGTCCTCCATCATACACCTGAGTAGTGACTGCTTCCCCTCTTCTTCACCCCTTTCTCTTCCTAGACTGTATGTGCCGCCTGGGTCACGTGGTGAGAAGGAAATTGGGGGAAGATTGGATCTTTCTGGTGCTTCTGGGACTGCTTATGGCTCTGGTTAGCTGGAGCATGGATTATGTTAGTGCCAAAACCCTTCAGGGTAGGTTTCACCTGGCCCTGTCCCCTCGGCCTCTCCCTACACGGTGACTGTGTCTGGAGTTTCTGCTCAGGACAAGCTGGGAGTGTTCTGGGAGGGGGACATTGCACAGAGCTGATCAGGCCCAGAACAAGACCAGATTGGACCAGACTTAGATCCAATCCTCCTGCCCCTGCCACCCGCCACCAGCCAAGCTGTGGATGCCCCTCTATTACTCACCCCAGCTTTCTCAGGACTTGCCCGGTTTGGGCACCGAACATCCTGGGACCCAGTAGCGCCTCAGCTCTGCGCACACCAGGGTGGATGGTCACCTCTGTGGCCTCTAACATCGCAGCCGTGGCCCCAGCTCAACTGTGGTGGGCATCAGGGATTCCACCTCCTACGAATGGCGGGAACCGGAAGGGGGTAGAGCACCTCCAGGCACGCGGGTGTCCCACGCACAGGTTCCATGGGAATAGGAAACCATCTCGCAAGATTCAATGGACTAGGCCTGGCGAGAGCGAGCTCCTGTGCGGTGGGGTGGGGGGGCCGCGGGGTGGGGTAAGGGGCAGAGGAGGGTGGAGGGGGGACACGGCGACCTCACATCCACGCTGCCCTGAGCCCGGGCCCATGTCTCTGCAGCCTACAAGTGGACCTACTACCAGATGCAGCCTAGCCTGCCGCTGCAGTACCTGGTCTGGGTCACCTTTCCACTTATTCTCATCCTCTTCAGCGCCCTCTTTTGCCACCTCATCTCTCCCCAGGCTGTTGGTGAGAACTTCCCCAGGGAGCCTCCCAGGTCATGTCGTCAGCATAATCTCCCTGTCCTGTGGACCCTCCCCGCCACTTCCTCCCCCACCCGGCCCTACCCACAGCCCTTGCCTGCTTTGTCACTGTCCTTCCCCACCACAGCCCCCTCCCTGCCCCCCATCCCCATGTCCACTGTCTGGGTGGTCATCTCCCCTTTAACCTCCAGCCTGAACCTGCGCACAATCATTTTGCAACCCTGTTAGGCTCTGGGATCCCCGAAATGAAGACAATCCTTCGCGGGGTTATCCTGAAGGAGTATCTCACCATCAAGGCCTTTGTGGCCAAGGTTGTGGCGCTGACTGCGGGGCTGGGCAGTGGCATTCCTGTGGGGAAGGAGGTAGGTGGTGGTCCCTGAGGTGTGAGCTGGGCACAGGGTGGCTCCGGCAGCAGGCGTGACACGGGCACAGCGACCAGAGCCAGGGCCAAGGGACATCAGGGAGGGGGAGTTCCTGGGAGGGTCCTGGTCCTGGGGCAGGACAGCTGAACCGGCAGAGCTGGGAGGGCCTGAGAGCAGCCCCTTCCCCACCTCAGTCCCCACCCCCACCCACCTGGGCACCGTTGGCATTTTGAGCTGGATAATATTGGTTCAGGGGCGCAGCCCTGTGCACGGGATGATGTTTGGCAGCATCCCTGGCTTCTGCCTCCTCGATGCCAGTAGCAGGCCCCAGGGGTGGGAGTGGGGGGAACTTCCCCAGTTAAAGAGCACAGCCTTAGAGACACTCCGGACGATGCCCTTGTTTTAACAGGCAACAGCGGGGACCCAGCGGGAGGCTGTGCTTCCTTCAAGCCCGTGCTCATGCGCATTCTTGTCCCGGGACAGGTCGATAACCTGCACAGCAGCCAGGGCCATCTTTTCAGAGTGGAATCAGCAATGTCTGACCTCTGCCCAAAACTTCCCTCATGGCTTTCCATTCTTAAAATAGGATCCAGAGTTCCCGCTGGGGCCTCTCAGGCCTGTGGGGACCTGGCTCCTCTCTGTTCCCCCTCTGGCCTCCCAGCCTGCTGCTCACTCACTATTTGGGGGCGACAAGGCCTTCTTCCTGTCCCTCTGCCATGCCCGCATGTCCTGTTCTCGGGGCGCCTGCACTTGCTGTGCGTCGCCCCGGCACACACTTCCTCCTGACTCCCACCGGCGCTAGCACTCCTTTCCATACACGACTCATCTGTGACCTTCCCTGAGCACCTTCGCTAAGCACATCCCCCATCCCACCTCATCTGTCCCGTCTGGCTCTGTCCCTTTGACCTCCCTCAATCTCTTCCCAGCCCTTGGAATTTTCCAAAGTGATAAAATGCCTGTGTATCACCCCTCCCCCGCTCCCCGCCCCCGTCCTTCTCTCTGGGATGAAGTTCCATGAGGGCAGAACGTCTGTGGTACTCAGTTCTGAGTTTCCAGCACCTAGTACAGCGCCTGGAACAATAAGTGTCAGCCCAGCAAATGCCGCCGGAAAGCCCCCCTCGCCCCCCCCCCCCCCCCCCGCTCCTGACCCCGCCCCTCCGTCTCTCCCCCAGGGCCCCTTTGTCCACATCGCCAGCATCTGTGCTGCTGTCCTCAGCAAGTTTATGTCTGTGCTCTCCGGGGTCTATGAGGTAAGGCGGAGACAGTAAAATGAGGCGGGGCTGCGTGTCCGGGGCGTCGGGAGGGCTGCCTCTGCTCCAGGCTGGCCGTGAGGTGACGCTGCGGCGGAGCATGGCGCTAGTCCGCGCTCCTCTGTTCTCCACGTCCCCACCGCCTCTCCTCGCCACCTGGTGCCTCTGTCTAGCCTCTGTCTGTCCAGTAATGCCCCGTCCTTCTTGCTCTGCACCCCTGCATTGGAGCCCGCACACGCCCGCTCCTCTGCTAACCGGCCAGTCCACACCCCTCCCTCCATGTCAGTTCCCTTCCACGGTTCCCTCCTGTGCTGCCCCTGTCCCTGTGTCCTCCCAGTTCCTCACCCCGTCTCTCTCACGCCTGCCCCTTGACCCCAGCCCCCTGCCCTCCTCGTCCCGCGCGCTTCTCTGTTGCAGACCGTGGCTGGGCAGCTTGACCTCCTGGTGTCGGCCTGCGCAGTGGGCGTGCGATGCCGCTTTGCAGCCGCTGTCTTCGGAGGCAAGTCCTACTTCCTCCCACCCCTGTTTCCTGAGCATGACTTGGAAGGGGGGTCTGGGTGGCTGCCACAGCTTTGGGGGAGAAGGGGTTGCTGGCTGAAGGGACGGGTAGGTGGGCCTTCAGCCCCTGGGCTCCAGGCACCCGTGCTTTTCTACCAAGGGCCATCTGTTCTCTGGAGGCTGGTGGCTCTCTCATGCAGGCTTTATTGATAGTGCTGTTTGTCTGAGGTCCTTTCCTGGCTCTTTTCCTATTGACACCCCTCTCCCTGATTGTCCCCACCTCCAGCCTCACTCTAGTGATCATGTATTGGCTTACCTGCCCGCCATTTATTTACCTAACTTTTATTTCATTTTCTGTGTTTGGCCCTGCTCTACTATGTCACTTCCTGCGTTGGCCTGGGAATTGCAGGGGGCAGTGGGACCACTGTGATTCCCTGTGACTTAAGCCTCTCCTTCTGCCTCATTCCCTACCCTGGTTTGTTCTCCCTTCCTCTCTCTGCCCCTCTTCCTCCCTGCTCCCTTCTCTCTCCGTCTGTCTCTCCCCTAGTAGCAGCCATACTATTACACTGATATGCTGACGGTGGGCTGTGCTGTGGGAGTCGGCTGTTGCTTTGGCACCCCCCTTGGAGGCAAGTGATTTACCCCTCCTACTCCAGTCCGCATGCCTGACTTGCTCCCCAAACAGTTGTCAGCATCCCCACGTGCGAGTATTAGCCGTTGAAACAACGGTATAGCGAGAAGAACTGTCAGTGAGCGTTTATTATGTGCAGGCAACGTTCAGAGCGCTCTACACGTATTCCTGCCAAAAGCTGCGTGAGGCTGAGATTAGAGAAAAGAGAGGAGAGAACAGTATTTTCCCCATCCTGGGTGACTGCCAAATAGTCGTGGTCAGAGAAAGCAGTGCTATGTGTTTATTTACTCATCATTTTCTGTTGTAATCAGACTAGCAGAGCAGAGGTTATGTTGACCAGTCACTGGATTTGTTGGTGACAGAAGGACACCAAGTTGACAAATAGAGAAACAGAATTTCAGGAAAAGCGTATGTTTCTTAAAGGCACCAGTTGTTACAGGTATCTTTCCAATTATGAGAGTGTGATCAGTCCTTTCACAGAGGAGCCTTCCGGTAGCTAAGACGGCTTGGCCCAGGAATGGTATATGGAGAAGCACTCAGAGTCCATGACAAAGTACCGCATGCGCTCGTCCTGACGCTGAGCCAGTGTGCGCTGCGTAGGAGGTGAGGTCAGCTGACACCTCAGCGGGCACCCTGCTGGTCCGTCTGTTGTCAGCTCTTGTCATTAGAATCATTAGTCCCCATTGAGGAAGGGTAGTATGTAGGAATTTCTGCAAACGTTAAATTTCACACTGAATGTTTATGCCTATTTTCACCTTCATTTACTCTTTCATCTTACAAATCCAGAATATCTAAAGGACATTGTTAGACAGGTAAAAAAAATTTTGTTTTCATTTTTGTTTTTAATTAGGTTCTTTAAAAGTGAAGAGAATCTGAATTTTCTGCCTAAGATTGGAATTTCTGGGATGAATGTAGAAGGTTTTTCTTGGTCCTGCATATGTAGAGTATTGGAAAGACCACAGGAAAACTACAGATAAAACATGGCTCTAAAGCCCACAAAAACAAACAAACAAAATATAGCTCTTAACACAAGAAAATGTTAAGCATTGGAAAGTTAAGATGCCATTTCCAGAATGTTTGTAGTAAGTGGCAAATATTAAATGGACTTGCAAATAACATTACTTGACTAGTTTCATTTTATGAACATGGTTTACAAAAGAAAAAACCAGTGTTAAGATAATTTATTCGCTATCTAGTCAACTCTTAATTCCTTACATGGTTGAAAAAAATAGACTTCAACATTCTACCAAAACGACAGCCATCTTTGTGCATCCCATACTGCCGTGTGCCTTGTGCTGCGCCCTGGCCACTGTGCTGGAGGGATCCTGTGCTCTCTGAAGCTCGCCTTGCAAAGCTAGACAGGCAGGCAAGCAAGCAGCCCGGCACTCACAGGAGGGTCTCCATGGCAGCTGAGGCAGGTGTGGAGGGAGCTTTCTGCTAAGCTGCCTGGGTCAGGGGTGAGGGCTTGGCTGTGGAGCTTTACAAAAGATAGTGTTGACTCTGGCTGGCTAGCTTGGTTGGTTAGAGCGTTGCCCCCATATGCCAAGGTTGCAGGTTTGATCCCCAGTCAAGGCACATGCATAAATAGATGGAACAACAAAGGCAAGGTTTCTCTCTCTCTCTCTCCTCCTTTCCCTCCCTCTTCCCACCCAAATCAATCAACAAAAAATGTTTAGAAGAGATAGTGTTTGATCTGACACTTAAGGAAGAGAGTGAAGGTGGGGTATTCTGGACAGAAGAGACAGCATTGCAAGGGCAAGATTTTGGGGGCTATCCCTGGCCAGATGGCTCAGTTGGCTGGTTTATCATCCTGTGCCCCAAAAGGTTGTGGGGTGGATTCCAGTCAGGGCACATACATACCTAGGTTGTGGGTCAATCCCTAGTCAGGGAGCATATGGGAGGCAACTAACTGATCAATGTTTCTCTCTCACATCGATGTTTCTCTCCCTCATCAATTACAAAAACATATCCTCAGATGAGGATTAAAAAAAAAAAAAAAGACCCAGGGGCTATAATTATAGTCAGCGAGTATTACTAAAAGATGCAGGAGGAGGAATAACAGGAAATGAGTCTAGACAGGTAAATGGGGCGAGCTCATGAAAGTCCTTGTAGACTCGCACAAGAAAGTAGATTTTATTTATTCTCCCGGCCAGATGCCCAAATGTGCTTTTAAATTTACTTTTCTCTTTTAACTTATTATTTTTGTATTACAGTTGAAGTTCGATATTATATTCATTTCAGGTCACAGCATAGTGGTTAGACATTTATATAACTTACGAAGTGATTCCCCTCCCCCTAAGTCTAGCACCCACCTGACACCATCCGTAGTTATTACAATATTTTTAACTATATTCCCTATGCTGTAATTTACATTCCCATGACTGTTCTGTAACTGCCAATTTGTACCTCTTAACCCCTCCCCCTTTTCCACCCAGTCCCCTAATGCCGACTCCTTCCAGGCGACCCCAGAGAATCCCTTTTGCAAGGGCCTTCTCAAGAGACTCATAGCATCTCTTGGACTTGACTTTGGGAAATGCCGTCAGAGTGCAGGGGAGCCATGGAGAATTTTGAACAAAGAAGTGACTTGGCCAGCTTTGCATGGTGATCCAATCCCTTTGACATGTGTGTGCAGGATAGAACTGGCCTGTGGATTAACAGGTTTAGTCCAAGATTAACAAGAAGACTACTCTCATTGTCATGATGCTAGATGATGAGAGGCTGGACTGGGCAGAGGCAGGAGAGACAGAGAAGAGGATGACATATTTGTAAAGTAAAGTAAGAAATAAATTTAAAAAAGTAAAGTTGATACGACCCAGTGATGGTCAATGTGAGGATGTGAAGGGGAAGAGAGAAGGAGGAACCTCAGCGGACTCTTAAGCTTATAATAAGGAAACTTGGGTGGCCAGTGGTAGCAACCAAGACAGGGAATCTAGGAAGTAAAACAGGTCTGGGGAGGTGATAATTTTCACTTTGCATGCGCGGAATTTGAAGTTGCTGTGGCATATCCAAGTGATATCAAATAGGCAGCTGGGTTGGTAAGCCTGAAGTTCAGGAACTAGGCTGAAAACATAGCTTTGTTAAACAGTAGCCTGTAGGTGCTAGTTGAATCAATGGGCATACATGAACTTGAGAGAAAGACCGTACCTGTGAGTAGCAAGAAGAGGAAGAACAAGGCCCTGGGTTGGGCAGAGGCAAAGGAGGCAGAGGAGAGGCAAGAAGAACCTCCGGGGCCGGAGGAGAGAGCGATGCCGCAGGACTGAAGGCACCAGAGCATCTTCCTGAGGCTGCTTGTGTTTTGCTGCCGTGTTTCCTCAGTAGCACAGTTTCTGTTTGGCTCCGGCTAATATTAAAATCAGTTCTCATTCCTGAGTGTACAGTGACACACTGTTAGGGAACGTGTCCCACAACCACATCGTGGCAGCCTAGGATTTCAAACAGCAGTTGTAAAACGTTCGGCCATTGGATAGTTTCTACCCAGACAAATCAAAGCCGATTTTGGTTCTGTTCCTGGTAAAGGACAGAGACTCCGTCCCCCTGATTCTCTACCATGTCGATCCTCCTTTGAGGCCAAGAAGGCAGCTGCCTTACCTGCTGTGCTAGGAGGAGCAGGGGCAGAAGGGTGGCTGGCAAAGCCGTCTGCCCCAGATTCCCCAATCCCTCGCTCAGTTTTCTGAAATTCCACCCATCCTATCCTCTTCTCTTCTCTTTCTTCCTTCCTTCTCTCCTCCCCTCCCCTCCTTTCCCCGCTCCTCTCCTCTCCCTCTCTGTCCATCCATAGAACAGGCATTGAGCCCTGATTGAGTACCAGGCACTGTATTAAGTGTTGGGGTCCAAGGCCCTGTCAGTCCTAGGGGAAACTCAGCTGTAAGCTAGTAACTCCATCTGAACCTGCTAAGTGCTCTGATAGTTCAAAACTCCCAGAGAACGAGGTGAGGGAGGGGCTCTTTCTACCTAAGGATAGGGATCGGGGATGGCTTCCTGGAGAAGGCGACATTTGAGCTGAACTCTAGGAGTCCTCTGCCAAAATGCTATGGCCACTTCATGAGGGAGTGGCCATCAGGCCACCTTCCTCTTGGCACATGTGACTTACTCTAACTATTCGCTGTCACCTGTGGAAGAGAGGGGCAGGGGGCCTGAGGGATTCAAGAGATGGGGCTTTGAATGTGGAACAGGCAGAAGAAGGTGGTTAGGATGCGAGATCCCACCAGAGGAGGGAAGCAGATCGGGGAGTGGGGTTATAGAACAGCAACCGGTCACCATGGGGAGCAAGGAGCAGACCAGCCTTACATAGTTCATGATCTTTCTTGCGACCAGGCCTCCTCCACATTCACCTAATTATGGGCTGTATTTCCTTGGTTTCCCTTCCTTGTTTCTGGTCAAGATGAGGCTTAGCTAGATTTTAGATGATTTTTTCATTGAATTTTATTTTGCATCTACTATGTTTGAAGATGATTTTCTTCTCACCCCCTGAATCTTGCTTTCTATGCCTTGTTAAGAGTTCCTAACTTTGTCCCTCTAAGCCCTTGCTGTTTTCCTATATGTCCGCCTCCTAATTTTCTGTTCTAGCATCTACTCTCAGAAACAGTACTACTTAGGACTATTAATTAGCTTTCCTTCTGCCTCACCCGCCCTTTGTAAGCACAATTATTTTTTACTTCCTCTGGCCTCTTCATTTTTTCCCCTCGTTTTTGTCCTTTTAAATCAAGTTATTAATTTTTTTTTTTTTTTAATGTGGATGAACCCTCTACTTTCTTTCCTGGGAATATCAAGTTCTGTCAGCTCTTGGGAAGACCTTTCCTGTTCATTCTTCTTATTTCTCCCTTACAAAGTTGCCCCGGGTACATGGGGCATGGGAGGAGGGAGGAAGGATCGGCGGGTTGTTAAGGAGAGTCGCTGTCCTCTTGAGCCCAGCTCGGCAACTCCGGCGAGCAGCTGCTCGGGATGATTTCTCTCTCATAGCTTTTCTGCCGAATAGTGTCAGTGGCCCTTAAATCCCTGTGGATATCTGACGTTGTGGATCTCACCCAACCCTACTTTCTAAGGGATGGAGGGAGCATGACCACCTGGTCCTCACATTTTGTGGGCTGAGGGCCGCCCGTTTCCCATCCTCTCTGTACCTTGTTGAACCACATCCCTGGCCTGCAAAATGCTGCCACTGTGATTAGATATATGGGTTTCACGGCATGGCCTTGAAGAGGTCCCCGGCACCGGGGTGCGGAGAGAGCCTTTCCCGTTTGTCCACACCTGACCCCACATTTATGCCCCTGCAGGAGTGCTGTTCAGCATCGAGGTCACCTCTACCTACTTTGCTGTGCACAACTACTGGCGAGGGTTCTTTGCAGCCACGTTCAGTGCCTTTGTTTTCCGTGTGCTGGCCGTGTGGAACAAGGATGCTGGTAACAGGGGGCCTGGGGTGGAGGCGCATGAACAGGGAGGCACGTGATGGGGAATGGAGGGAAGCTCTGTGGGGCAGCGCAGGAAAGGACCGCATGGCCTTATTTGGGAAGTGGACCAAGGATACAGGACAAGGAGATAGGCCATGGAGCGGGAGAGTACTGGTTGTGCATAGAAAGAAGAAATTAAATAGCAGAGGAGACACTGGGCTTGCAAGAAGAAAGGAGTGGATCCTTAAAGCTGATCACCATTGGTTCCCTCTCTGTGGGTTTCTGTGACGCCCTCGTCCTGATCCTTGGCCTTCCCTTCTGGTAGTCACCATCACCGCTCTCTTCAGAACCAATTTCCGGATGGATTTCCCCTTTGACCTGAAGGAGCTCCCAGCCTTTGCTATCATTGGGTCAGTGAGGTCACCTGCCCTGGGCGTGGTGAGGGGGTGGGTGCGGCTGTGGGTGGAAGGGCCCCCGCTGGGAAGAAGGCGGGGCGCACAGGGATGAATGGTAAATGGTTGGGGGGAGGTGGGTGGTGGAAAGGGAAGGCAGATGCCTGGTGTTTGTCTCCCCCACGGCTAGGTCCGAGGGACGGGTTTCATTTCTGTGTCACTTACACCCCCAGGATTTGCTGTGGGTTCCTGGGAGCTGTCTTTGTGTATCTGCACCGTCAAGTCATGCTGGGTGTCCGAAAGCACAAGGCCCTCAGCCAGTTTCTTGCTAAGCAGTGAGTCACTGCCCTTCCTTAGCCCTCCCCACTTACTTTCTGGTTTCGCCACCACGAGTTCCTTTTTTTTTAAATCTTTGTGAAAGGCATTAAATGCTTGTCGGTGGCTTGTGACAAAATAGAAAAGCCCTGACACTATTCATAGGGAGTGAGTGGTGCGGCTTCTTCCCCTTTTAAATATAGCATTTTGGTGGAGAGAATACTCTGGGTTTAAAGAACCGAAACTATTGTGGACCACAGGCAACTTCAGCCTGCCAGCGCTCCGTGTGGTGTCTGTCTACCGTGCCTGGGTTAAACTCAGCGGATCCTTCATTGTGTTTCTCTCTTCCAGCCGCCTGCTCTATCCTGGAATCATCACCTTTGTCATCGCCTCGCTCACCTTTCCACCAGGAATGGGTCAATTCATGGCTGGAGAGGTCAGCTGCCAGGGAGCCTGAGGGTGGGGGCAGGTCACTGAGCACGTGACCCCGGGAACCAAGCCAGGACTGGGCCACGTGGAGAAGGGGAAACAGCACAGATGTTCCTCAGGTGTACTTTTGGCCAAGAATAGAATCTGTCCCTGAGAAAAGAGCAGAAGGGACCCCTGAAAAGTGAGACCGGGAATCAGTTCTCCAAAAGAGGAAGTACCGAGCATGCCTGGAGAACTATCCCCTTTTGCTTCCCCCTCTGGCAGTTGATGCCTCGTGAAGCCATCAGCACCCTGTTTGACAACAACACGTGGGTAAAACACATAGGAGACCCCGAAAGCCTGGGCCGGTCGGCTGTGTGGATCCACCCACAGGTCAACGTTGTTATCATCATTCTCCTCTTCTTTATCATGAAGGTACCTTTCCCTCCACTCCTGGTCCAGGGCTTCTGTTTGTTTTCAGCCTTGGATCCCAAGCTTTGCACAGGGTGAGAAAGGGTAAAACTCCACCTGGTGTTCGTCTAACCCAAAATTAAATAGCTTGGAAACCACGGCACAGGTTACTCACGTATGAAAATGAACCAATATTTAGGTTTATCGTCCCATTCACGTCACCTTAGTGATGGTGCCATAATTCTTATGACCTTTCCAAAGGTTCCACTTGCTAAATTATTAAGACATTGCAGCAGCCAAATAAACAAGGACAAGATGGAGTTCAGCAAAATAGATAACTTTGTAGAAACCTCAGATAAATTAACCACATTCCCCCACATATTAGATAATTAGGCACTCCATTCTCCATGTATCCATTTTTAGTGGATTTGCATATCCATTTCCCCCCAGACTAGTGGGTAATCTCGTTTCTAGAATTGCAAAAGAGATAAAATGCTTAAATCATTTTTATTAGCGACTATAGACAGTTTTTACTAATGTTATTAGTCTGTTAGCTAGTGAGAGCTCACTTTCTTCTTACTCCAGTTGGGAAAGAAAAGCTGATCCCTTTTTACATCGGCTCGTTTTCCTATCTGCCCATCAAGGATTGTTATTTAGAGACTTCTCAATTACTGCCTTATACAAAGATGTTTTTGTTTTCCACCCTCATTGTGACATCTATTACTATTGCTGATTGCATATTTTTCTTCCTGGATAAGTGCCTTATTACTTAATAGTACGTCTTGCCTGAATAATCTAACATTTCTCTCTGTATACTAGGGCTCTTATTCAAAAGTCTGTCCACTCTGAACTTTCATGTTTTGAATTCTTTGCTATTAACTTATTCATGATACCTTTTATGAATCTGTGTTTCCCCAGGATATGAGTCACTAAGTAATAGTTATATTGTAATAGCTGTAGTGAGTTCATTTAGTCATATAATCAATACATGTTATTATATACCTTTATGTGCCAAGTATATAATACTTGATTGATTGCTGACCTTTGGCAAATCTTGTTTTATAGTTGAAAAAAATGTTTTTGATTTCTTCCTTGGTTTGTTGCTGTTCATTTGATCTACTTGTCAATGATCTCATGCTTAGAGGTGCGGGGTGCTGGACACACCTGTTCCAACTCTGTAACTTACAGGATTTGCTGTGGGTCTCTGTGCTCTTTCCTATTTCACTCCAGGTAGACTAACTGGGTCTACCACTTTCACATTTTGCATATCTACCTTATTAGTTTTTTTGTTTTTGTTTCTTCCTTCAAAAGATTTGACATTTTTATCATAAAGCAGCTCTCAGTGTTTTATTAGGGATTATATTTAGGGGGGAGACTTTCATTATAGAGTTTATATTCTCTAATCTGTAAATCTCAACTTCCTGGAATTGTTGTTGAGTATACAGACCCACCTGCTGTAACCAAGAACAGGTTTTGGTGGCATCTCAGAATTTATTGCTCAAGGATAATAATTGTGTTTTTCTGGTATTCCTCTAGACTGAGCTGTACGGTAACTTTGGGGACATATATACTCCTAAAATGTCAAGCTTTTGAAAATTTTTGGAGAAACAAAATACTGTGTATTTTTCAACATTTCCCCCACACCTCACCTCACCTCCCAGGGTTTCTGAGTATGTATTTGGATACCACTTCATGGATTAAAGTTTATTCTGAGAAATATACTAGATTATAAAGAAAGACTCAACTGTATGTCATTATTATTAATTTATCACTGAATTATATCTTTGAAAATGTTTATATCATAAGTGTATCAGGAAGAGAAATTCACTCACTTCTTGGGCTATATTTCAAGCCCAACAGTTTGCATCAAGCCTATGATTTTTATAATATTTATAAACATAAAACCATTCAAGGCTCTTAAGTCCATGATATTTCTTAGTTATGACTGCATATTTCACTGTTCTCTGTATCATTGGACACATAAACATACCCTTATTACTTCCAGAGCACAGGCAAGCGGCCACGTAGCTAAATCAAAATGTAAAAGTGGCTAAAACTGTTTTTCCACAGTCTGATTTCAAACGTATGTGGTCTCTGGCAGTACCAGAGCAGGCGGGTGAGATTCTCAGTTCAGAACTTTTATTATGTTGACGAAGGGAACATCCGTCTTCCTCAATCTGAGAACATGGAAAGTGTCATTATGTTGTAAGCCAGGAGCTTTTACAATGAGTGTGGATATAATTACAACTCCTCGGTTTCCCTTTCAATAATTCTACCATGATTGCTGAGGATCCCGGAGCTCTCAGCGCGCCTGAGGCTCTGCGGGATTTGTCTTTGCCTGATCCCCACAGGGCTTCTTGTTGTGAAGGGTCTAAAAAAGGTGGAATCTGTGATCATGGCTCTCTAGTTTCCCAGTTCTCTGGAATTTAAAATCTTGGCAGTAATTGGTGTTCCACGGCACTTACATTGCTTCTGGACCTTTCCTTCCATGTGCTACGTGCTCCAGTTTTTGGCTCCTCTCACGTGTCACTCTTCATGCTATAGGAGTCGGTGCTCCAGCGTCCTCTGATCCTGACACTGTTCTTACACACATGTCGGAGGCTAATCTGAGGTTCATCCTCTGAAATCAGATCTACCTATTGTCTGTGTTACAGAAGCGTCCAGATTGACCTGAGCCTACAAATCCCCATGGCTTTGCAAAATCCCTTCTGTATTCATTCCAAAGATGTGGTGCAGAAATAGGTCAAGGGGTCTCAGACTGGCACAGGTCAGAGTGGCTTAAGAAGCTCCACAGCAGTGAACCCAGTTGTGTCTGCACATCTGTTGTTTAACCTCAAGTTCCCCTTGAGCTTAAGGTCACTGTTGGGTATTTTAACAAGTATCAGCTCTGAGAAGTTTTCTTCTGTTTTGCATGGATACTGTCTGACCAAACTCTCTTCTTTCTTTCCTCCTTTCCTTCCTTCCTTCCTTCCTGCGGACATACCTACATCCTATCCGCATTTACCGGGCACTCTGCCAGAAGAGAGAAAGGGCAGAGATAATAGGATACACGCAAGGACTTCTCAGTCTATGTTCTCTTTATTTGTACATTTGACTTTTCAGTTTTCAACTGTTCTAAACAGCCATATTCCGACAGGAAGAAGTATGTATTTTGCCTTTCTCAGAGTTTCTGGGAGGAAACCTTCTCAGTGCCTTTGTCACTTTCCCTTGAGGTCAGCCCTGGCTTGAGGGAATTCTTGCTAAGGTTCAGGAAATTAAGAGATTTATTTCTCATTAGTTTACAATGCAATTGATGCCATTTTTTAATTATAAAAAATTTGATCCTGGCAAGCTTATTCTGACCTTTAGCTGGTACCATCGTTCACCAAGTCAGTTTGAGATCCTTTTTCCAAGATTGGCTTACTTGTTTTGGAAGGGATATGTAAACTTATTGCATAATTTACCTACTATGTCTCATAAAAGTTCAAGCACTACTCCTTTTCTCGCTCTATTTCTCAGTTCTCTTGCATTCTTCATCACAAAATGCACGTATTGCATTTTCTAAAATTATCCCAGTTTCTATGGCAATACTACCTAAAAAGCCTTGAAGGTCTTTTCTGTTACCCTGTCTGGCTTGCCTGGCTTTCTCCATGTGCCCTTCCAATATGGCTAGGACAGACCCTTTGTTTCAAGTGATTTGACGTCATAGGAAATGGCTCAGGCAGGGCACTCACACCAGTTTCCCCTGGGAGGTTCCCCATATAAATGGCTCTGTAAGTAACTGCATTAGAGATCAATTAGTCACGCAGTAAGTCACGAAGACTTTAAGGTGCCTGTCATTTCCAACTGGGGATCTTTTGTGGAAACATAACCTGACCAAGAAAAGATATCTTTCAGCTTCAAGAGTTTCATGCTCTTCTACTGAGGTGATCCTTTGAAGCAAAGAGGCTACAGTGGGCTAGGTCGCTATGGGGGCAGTGACAGAGGACCTCTGAGGCCCCACTCCTTGTTCTAGATTGCCTAATATAGTCACTCCAAGTGGGCGGGTTTGGGCTTAACCATCTGGAGGCACAATCTCAGAGTGTTGTGTTTGGTGATCTCTTAGCCTGAGAACTCCTTGCTTCTTGGTTCTGGATGAAGGGGGGCAGACGCGATGGCCTTCAGAAGGATGAACCATCCTGGCATTTCTGTGGCTCTTGAAGCGGGAAGGAGGAGGATGTGGGAAGGGGGGTGAGTGTGCACGTGTGTGTGCGGGGCAGAGTTGAGAGGGTGTCCTGATGCCTCTTTTTACCCCAGTTCTGGATGTCCATCGTGGCCACCACTATGCCCATACCCTGCGGAGGCTTCATGCCTGTGTTTGTGCTTGGTAAGTCCTGCTGGGGAGCCGGGGCCCCCACTGAGAGCTGCGACCTAGGGTACTGGGGAAGTCAGGAAAGGCCTGCGACGCTGGGGGCTTGTATTTGGTCTCAGCGCCCAAGGAGGGTTTGGCTCTGAAAATACAGAGGATAAGGAACTTGGATCTCTCAGCACCTTCCTTCCTTTGTCTTTGCTCTAGGAGCTGCATTTGGAAGGCTGGTGGGAGAGATCATGGCCATGATATTTCCTGATGGTATCTTATTTGATGACATCATCTACAAGATCCTACCTGGGGGCTATGCTGTAATTGGTGAGACACATTCCACTCTCCTGACACCAAATACTGACTCCCTCAGATGTCCACACTCCAACTCTCCCATGACATCTTCATTCCAGGCTACACAATATGGCTTTAATTTAATGCTATGCAATTCAGCTTCTATTCAAATAATCAACCCTTGGTTCTGACTCTCAGTACCATTTATTAAATGTCTATGAGACTTAGGTTCTTCATGTATAAAAGGGATTATGGGTATTAAACGAGATAGGGCTAAAAGCTCCTAGGATTGTGTGTGAATGTTTGGTAAGGTTTCTTTTCATTTTTTTTTTTTCCTTCCAAAGAATCATGGAAGCAACAATGCAGGTGACAGGCTCAGCCGCTTGCACCTTGCAGATGTGTTAATATTGACGGGACTTAAGAGCACATGACTAAGCTGAGAAACATGGGCTCTGGATCCATTCCTGCCACTTGTCACCTAGATGGTCATGGAAAAGTTAGCTGCCTTTCTGAGCTTTAGTTTCTTCTGAAGTGACTTCTGAGATATCTTACAGCTCCAACATTCTATGAATCTCTGATTTCCTTCATTATATCTATTATGCCATACAACCAAAACCCAGGTCTAACACAGCGATCAATATAAATCCCCAGAGTTATTGTGCCTCCTCCCTCCTTTCTCTCTTCACCAAAATCCCACAACATCTAAATATAGGAGCACTAACCAGCTTTATTGCTCATATGATGACCTTACTCTCCCATAAATTGTTGGCTCAAAACCCGAGGCCCCCAGTAGAATGCTATAACTGGATTTTCAAATGCTCAGTTAAGAGTGATACAAATTCTCTGTCCTGGGTGGTGTGGCTCAGTGGATTAAGTGCCAGCCTGCGAACTGAAAGGTTGATGGTTAAATTCCCAGTCAGGGCACAAGCCTGGGTTGCAGGACAGGTCCCCAATAGCGGGTGCGTGAGAGGCAACCAATCAATGTATCTCTCCCACATGATGTCTCCCTGTCTTTCTCTCTTCCTCCTCCTCTCTCTAAAAATAAATAAATCAAATCTTTTAAAAAAAGAATGATACAAATTTTCAAAAACCAGGAATAGATAGGACATCGCTGTCTTCACTTTATAAATGAAAGTGCAGGCACACACAAGGATTTCATGTCTTGTCAAAAGTCATGGAATGAGATCAAAATGATGATTGTCTAACAGTCCAGCTTTCTCGCCCCTACTCTGGACACATGATTATCTCGGGAGTGTTGGTACCGACCCATCCTGTGTCACTCCCATCACATCCCTATGTGCCCCGTGTGCCAGGGATCGCAGTGTTAATCCACCAGTACATTCCTGTGTCTCGTTCCAGGAGCAGCAGCGCTGACCGGTGCGGTGTCCCACACAGTCTCCACAGCTGTGATCTGCTTCGAGTTGACGGGTCAGATTGCTCACATCCTACCCATGATGGTGGCTGTTATCTTGGCCAACATGGTGGCTCAGAGCCTGCAGCCCTCCCTCTATGACAGCATCATCCAGGTCAAGAAGCTACCCTACTTGCCTGACCTTGGTTGGAACCAGCTCAGGTCAGGGGCGCCAGCTGGAATTAGTTCAGCTTTGACGGGCTGGGGATGGGAGAGTCTGAGGTTGAGGCTGACGTTAGGGTCAATGTTTGCACGCACTGCTTTTGACTTACTTTTATATTCCCATGTACCTGATGACTTTTGTGAATGACCAAATGGCAAACCTCATGGGAGGAATGGGAGGGCCAGCAAAGGGACAGGCCTCTGGTGGGGGGCTAACCCCCCACCCCCTATGCTTTCTCCCTCCATAGCAAATTTACAATCTTTGTTGAAGACATCATGGTACGTGATGTGAAGTTTGTTTCTGCTTCCTGCACGTACGGGGAGTTGCAAACCTTGCTCCAGACCACCACAGCCAAGACTTTACCCCTGGTTGACTCAAAAGGTCAGTGGGAAGAGAGGGAGCTGACTCCTGAATTGGCGACCTGAGCTTAGGCTCCAAAGAGGTGGGGGAGGCACCGTGGTGGGGGCTTGTCTATAGGGGCCACCCAGTCTGCTACAGGGGACTCAGCCTGTGCTCCTTCAGGGACACGATTGTCCTGAGGAAGGTAATATACAGCCGTAACAAAAGCACTACCAGACAATTAAAAACCAAGTAAAGAAATACAGTCAATTCTCATTGTTCATTGTAGTTATGTTCTCTAACTACTGTGAACACTGAATTAAGGATACTACACGGAACCATAGATCCTAGAGGACATATAGGCTTAGGTTCCTGCAAGCCTCTGGTCACAACAGTTTCTTCCACTGATTAATGCATTAACTTGTTTTGTGCATGTTCCTCTTTAAAGACACCTTATTTAATATATATTGTTGATTCATTAACATTGAACTTGCAGCCAGTAGCACAATAGCTCATACCTAGACAAAGCTAATCTAACTCACTTATTTTCTCCATAAGGCACATCACAGGCTTTATGCTTGGGGGCAGTTTGAAACAGCAAAATAGACAACACAAATCACAAAAATGTGAAAAACGAGGCAATAAATGAACCACAAAAAGAACACTTGTTTGCAATGTGAGAGCTGGAGGGGGGAAAAAAACCATACAATGATATAGCATCACTTTGTTCAACCTCAACTAGGAATGTGTGCATGGGGCCAGCCAGATTTTTTTGCTGCTGTGAACATGTCTGTGAAGGATGGCAGAAGCATCACAGAGTATTGATTTTGGGATACAAATGGCGAATTTGCAAGTAGGGAACCTGCAAATAATAAGGCTCAGTTGTAACTCTTACTGGCCCTTACGTGGTTTTTTTTACTTAGGTTAAATAATAGCCATTCTTTAACATACAATGTGAGTAGCTGATGAAACTGTTCCATATGAAGGAGTGAGTGGTTTTAGTAAGGCGTGATCACACACTTCTCTTCCTTACCCATCCTTTCTGCCCTCCGCTGGCACTAAGCCTGCTTTGTACTATTTCTTACGCCAGTGTATACATTTTTGTCTGATTCTCCCTTATTCCTTGAAGGTAGGGACTATAACTTCTGTCTCCGTCAAACTGCCTCCTTATAGATATTTACTGGATATGAAATAAATACTTGCCTAATATTTGAACTGGTATAATTGAGAAGAATCATGAAGGGCCACTTGGAGCCATTCAAATTGTTAGTTCTGACTTCAGGTAATCAGAGTATCCAAATTACTCAAGTGAGGCTAGTTTTACTCTTTCCCCAAATCTCAAATACCTTCTCAGTGGCTTCTACAGCAGGGACTTTTCCTTGGACTAGGGATGCAGCCACTGAGGCGTGGGGTTTTCATGATAACCTCTAAGACTTAAGGGCAAGATTGATCCCAATAACACTGGCCCAATTTTATGGCCTTAGAACTTAATGAAAATGTTAATTATAGTAACAGAATTTTTACCTTCCCAGGAAAAGTAAGCATTTTTTTATCCCAGAGGGACCCAGGCTCTCTAAATAATTAAACATCAGGTATCCATCTCTGCTTATATGAATGGCTTGTAATGTTTTGTTTTTGAGACAGGCTCGATTAGCCTATTTTAGTACCAAGTTCACCTATTTGCTAACAGGCTATATCAAAATAAGTACAAATTAGCACCAATTAGTGTACTATCAATTGGGTCTCTAAGTGCTAAATGGGTGAAATAAAAGAATTGAATGAGGTCAGTCCTGCAAGATATTTGAAATGAGTTTTGAGAAAGAGAGAGTAAAAGCTGCAGGAAAAAAAGAAGAAGAAGCGGGGTCTTAGGTTTTCTGCCCCTGCCTCCATCCTGCTAAGCAGGGCAGAGTTGAGGACCGGTACTGGGCAGGCCCTCAGGCTGAGCTTGGATCCCCCCAGATTCAATGATCCTGCTGGGCTCCGTGGAGCGGTCGGAGCTGCAGGCCCTCCTGCAGCGCCACCTGTGCCCGGAGCGGAGGTTGCGGGAAGCCCAGGACCTGGCCAGGAAGCTGTCTGAGCTGCCCTTTGACGGGAAGCCTCGGCCGGCGGGGGAGGGACGCCAGGGCTCCTCGGCCCCCGGCCGGCCAGAGTCCTTCGCCTTCGTGGATGAGGATGAAGATGAAGACCTCCCTGGGAAGCCCGAGGTGACCAGGCTGTGAGGGGCCCAAGGAGCAGGAGAGATTGGGACAAAGGGAAGAAAGTAGGAAGAGGGAGCGGAGATGGGGTCATTGAGAAAGTCCAAGAGATCGGTGCCTCTGGGTCCCAAGAACCGAAGATGAGGTTGTGGATGGAGGCACCCACCCGTGAGCTTTCAAAGGGATGTAGGAATTCTGAGCTGGGGAGGAAGAGCAGAATGAGGCGGGTTTCCCAGGACACCAGCTGGTAAAGGCAGGAACCACTAGGCAGCCCTTTCTCTGGGACTGAGAGTTTTTCCTGTTCCTTGCAGCTGCCTCCTCTTCCTCCTCCTCACCCCTTTCCTACCGTTCCGCTGCCTCCTGAAGAGCCCAATGGGCCCCTGCCCAGCCTCAAGCAGCAGCCAGAAACAGAAGAACCTGCAGGTGAAGATTCTCCCATCATGCACCTTCACTAAGCCTAAGAGCTGCTACTATGAGGAGCTAAGGTGGTAGCAGAGGGTTCCTGTTCATTGAGTCTCCTTATGGCTGCCCCCAAGGACTGGGGCAAGGGCTGATTTAGGAGGATAGAAAAGAGGGTGTCTATGGCGGTGGCAAAATGTCAGGGGGCCACATGGGAGCCCCTGGCTATTTCCTCCCAGGACGGGTAGAAAAGGCTTTGTGTCCATTTCCATCTGCTCCCCACTCCTCTCAGGTCGAAGATGCTCCATCTTTCAGTCTCTCCTGCGCTGTTTCCTGGGCAAAACTCGCCCCACAAAGAAGAAAACAAGCCAGGTGAGTGGTGAGGGGAAGGGGCAGGGGAAAGAGAGCTTGCCTTTGAAGAGTGAGAAATCCATGGGCCTTCGATCAGGAGGGAAGGGCCCACCAAGGAGAGGACCCTCATCACATGGAAGGGATGGGGAGTCGGAAAGCAGGCATCTGTGGCCCTGGCCAGGCAATCGTGGCTGTGGCTCCATTAGGAAAGAACTTGGACCTATGTCTTTCTTCTCTAGGATTCAACGGACTTAGTGGATTACATGTCACCTGAAGAGGTAAGTAAGGGAAATAGCAACCTGCGTTAGATCGTTCTGTCAAATGAAGATATCACTCCTCTTTTTCTATCTTCTTCGTTGGGTTTTAAGAAGAAGCTGCAAGTCTGGGTGGGAAAGCATTTGAGAGGTTGGAAAGGAGGTGTGATTATGGAGACAACGACGGGCCCATTGTGCAGAGGCGGGGGATACCTGGTGGCATTCTCAGAAGGACCATCGTCATCTCAGAAGAGGGCTATTTTGAGTCTCCGTGCGTACATGGGACCATGGTGCCAAGATGCGCCTCAGGTCTTTTAGGCATCAGGTCCATTCTGGATAGGCGAGGGTGATGCACTAAACGGCACCAGACACCAGCAGCGTGGAAAAGCAGCACTGAAGTGAAATCCGCACCTGGTGGAGGTTATTCTGCTGATGGAGCCAGGCCCGGAGACAATGGTCAGCTAGGGAACACCAGGAAGCAGGACCAGGAAGCACCACCATCGGAGGACAAGTATTCACAGTGCTGGCGCTGTCTCTTGGGGCAAATGCCTATTTTCTGAAAGAGCTGGTTATCGAGTCCATGAGAGGGAAAGCTGAGGGCGCTGATTGGGCTTGTGAGCAGTAAAAGAACGTGGAGCTGTGATTGGGAGCAGTATGGATGGGGACACGCCCTCAGATGAATGCAGATATACAGCTCACTTCAGCAGCAGCCACTCACTCGGGAAAGGAGCATGCAGACTCGAGCTCTGTAGGTGACAAAACCATAATGCATATTATTATTTTACAATAGACATCGGGCATCTGGAATAAATACATGCGGAAACTTAGAAGTCACCCAGGGTTGGAGGAAGGGGTAGGGAGTGACGAGAGAGAAGGGAGAGAAGGGAACCCTCCCGCCCCTCTTTCCACCCCTCAGAGCTCATCCTGATAAATGACTTATAGAAAAGTCAGATAGATGATTGCAGAGGAAAAAGAAACCCATTCCTTCCAGCCACCAGCTGGAATCAGATGGGTCATATCTGCAGTTAAGGAGTGACTTGCTAGGGTGCTGAAACCAATAATAATGATTTTTGTTCTTGTTGTCTTTGTTAATCCACCATAGAGAGGAAGCTGGTTAGTGGATCAGTGAGGCTGTTTAATGACCGCTGAAAATAAAGTGCCACCAGGGATAAAAAGACGAGAGATCTACATTTTTAGTGTATATCTTTCCCAAAGAAGACTTTATTTTAGGCAGCTCGCAGCTTCCATGTGACTCAAGGATATTTTGGAGGAATAAGATCCAATAGAAGTCAGAGTTCAGATTATTTTGAACATGGTTTTCAAACTAGATCAAGGTGACACTTGGCAATTCAAGATGATACCTATGGAAATACTGAAAGAATTCAGTTATAGGTCGCCAGAAGTCCCTGCTCTGACTGCATTCTGCTACCCTGTTAGTACACACAGTTAAAGCTCTGGTTTGTAACCAGCTGAGTTTTTTCAAGTTCAGACCCAAGGGCAGACATTCCCTGCCCTTTGGACAGGAGCTGGGGGCACCTGGAACATTACCAGCAGTCAAGGTCAGAAGCCCAGCTCCACCTCTGTTCAATTTGAATAATGCTGTTGCTCCTTAAGGGAAGTCAAAAATGAAAGTAGGGAAAGCTAGAAAGGTCCAGGGAACAGAACAAGGCAAACCATGGTTGACAAGGTAGCCGGTTTGATTCCCGGTCAGGGCACATGCCTGGGTTGTGGGCCTGGTCCCTAGTTGGGCATGCACGAGAGGCAACCAATGGATGATTCTCTTGCACATCGATGTTTCTCTCCTCCTCTATCTCCCTTCCTTTCCCTCTCTCTAAAAATAAATTTTTTAAAAATCTTAAAAAAAAAAATCGTCTCTATGACGTACCTGCTAAGTAGTCACCATCCTGTGCTGTGAGAGCCTGTCAAACCCCATGCGAACCTTTAGGGAAGAGGAGAGTTTCACAAGATTTTAGACTCATTTAGGAAAGCCAGAGCCATACTGGTTCTTTGGAAGCCTGGGGATTTGGGCATCGCATCTAACATCAAGAGGAGAGTTGGCCTTCTTGTTTTAATGCTTCTGTCACAAATAAATAAAAACGATGGCTCTGCTCAAATTCACTAAGTGCCATGGACCCAGCGCAGCTCCTCAAGTCCAACAAATGCCCGCCCTGATGTGCTGCGTAAGCGGCGCTGCGTACTGTGCTAGTATCTTCATAACTTCACAACGGCGGCCATCTATGCCAGTAACGCTCTCCGAGAGTCTGTGTCCCGTGGGCAGAGGTGGGACAAATCCAATACAAGAGTGAGCGCAGTCCACACCATTTCTGAAAAGCAGAGACCAGCAGAGTGCTGCAGGGATTGAAAACGGGGCAGAGCCCACTGGCCTCGGAGCATCAAGAGTGCAGGGCGGGCAGGTAAGGGAAGCGCAGCCCAGCCGAGGCAGAAGCCAGAAGACATATGAGGAGTGGCAGGCAGCCAGGTTTCACTGGAGCAGAAGTGGAGGAAGTACTGCAAAGATGGGTTGGAAATAATGAGTGTTTGGGATACTGGGATAGGAGAGAAGTGGGGGGGGGTGCATGCCAGCACCCGAGGCTGAAGGTTGATTTGGGCCCAGATGAGGGAGGAACAGGAGGGGCTCTCCCCTGGGAAGAAGGGAGTGGTGTAGTGATCTGCAAGGTCTCTGCTAGTTCGTTGCATATTTCAGTTGCATATTTCAGGACTGGGGGCTAGAGGGCTGCTTGGGGTCAAGGCCTTGGACCTGAGGTTGAAGGGGGCTCTGTGGCATTGGGTGACAGCCCCACTCTGCCTGACAGATTGAGGCCTGGGAGCAGGAGCAGCTGAGCCAGCCTGTCTGCTTTGACTGCTGCTGCATCGACCAGTCCCCTTTCCAGCTGGTGGAGCAGACGTCCCTGCACAAGGCCGGTCTTTGCTTGCCACTCAGGGCTGCTGGGAGGCCAGGGGCGGTGTGGGCCCACTGTGTGCTGACCTGCAGCTCTTTCCATGCAGACGCACACGCTATTCTCGCTCCTCGGCATCCACCTTGCCTACGTGACCAGTATGGGGAAGCTGCGGGGCGTGCTGGCATTGGAGGAGGTAACAGCCATGTGTCCCTTTGGAGCGGCAGGAGGAATGGGTGGAGTGGTGGGGGAGGAATGGTTTTACTCCGCCCCCCGCCCCCATTTCCTTCTCTATCTCTCATGAAGAAGCTATAGGAGGGGGACCAGGGATTCAGCAATCTGGGGATGTAGGTAGAGAGAACTGCGAAGCCCCCAAGGGTTCACAGATCACCGCAGAGGTAGCCCTTGCGATCTTCCATGGCTGGCATGGGTTCGGGTTGCGGTTTAGTGCACCAGTAATGGTTTCATACCATGGAAAGAGGGAAGAGATAGGATGTGGCTGAAGAAGGCCTGAAGGTCACTAGGAACCCGTCAAAGGAGGACCTGGGTCAGGAGCCTTGCCAGTCGCTGCTCTGCAGAGGGTCTGCTGGTCATGTCCTTCTGTCTTCCACGTGGTCCACCTCTCTTGCCGCTCTGTGGCTTTTCCATTCCTTTTTCCTTTCATTGTATCTGTTCTTCTCCTGTGTCTGTCTCTCTCACTCCACCCCACCTTCTCTCTCCTCCCAATTCTGTACCCTCTTCCCCTTTCCCCCTGCTCCCCAGCTGCAGAAGGCCATCGAGGGGCACACCAAGTCAGGGGTGCAGCTCCGCCCTCCTCTGGCCAGCTTCCGGGTCACAGCCTCAACTCCAAAGACTCCTGGGGGCCCGCTCCCTCCCACGGACACGTGGAGCCTGCCTGAGGATGGAACTGGGGGCGCTGAGCCAGAGGACGTGGTTCCTACCTCCCTGGAGCACCCTCTGTCCCTGGCTCCAGCCAAGGCAGAGAATGAGCTGGAGGAGCTGGAGCTGGTGGACAGCCCAGGGCTGGAGGAGGAGCTGGCTGACATCTTGCAGGGCCCCAGCCTGCGGTCCACCGATGAGGAGGATGAGGACGAACTGATCCTTTGACTGCCCCCAGGACCGCCCCATCAGGCTGTCAGGAGGCCCAGGCCCGAGGGTGGGTTTCTGTGGGAGAGGGTAGGTCCCAAAGTTGGAGTGATCGCTCCAATACCCTGACCCCTCCTTGGAACTTTAAAATGTGGCGATGATGGTCTCAGAGGAGGAGTCCGCATTTGGGCAGGGACTAGCCTTGATCGTTACTTAGGCCATCTCCCCCATTCCCAGACACCTCAGTGAAGGGCCCCCGTGTTCTGGGAGCTTCCTGAGTTTTCCCCCCAGTGTGGGTGCGGAGCTCCCTGCCTCCCTCTGCCTCCCCTCATTCCCCACAGCTCCCCGGCGTTCTTGTCCCAGTGCCCTCCTGGCCCTGCCCGTCTGTCCTTCAGTCTCCACATGGGTGGGTGAAGGGAGACCCAGGATGGCCGTGGCCCTGCAAGGGCCACATTGGAGGAGGGGGGACCACCTCACGGCCTTGGGGCCTGATGGCCCCAGGATACATTGCAAATCGTCCGCAGCCCCTTCTCTCAGAGTCCCCCACGCTATGGTCTCCTGCTTCCCGAAATTTGCCTCTAGACTCGAACTGTCTCCCGCTCTCTGTCCCCAAGCAAGGGCCATGACTAGCACAGAGAAAGGCCAGCCCCAGTTCCCCCTCCTTTGTCCTGGATTTAAGCAGTGAAATATGGATAGAAAGATACGATCAGGAGCAGCCTGCAAGAGGGACTGTCACTGAAGGCTCTAGGTGGAAGGGGCACCTTGAGCCAAGTGGTCAGGCTGTCCCCGTGGTTCTCTCTGACCCCCTCCGGCAGACTCTCTCCCTGTCTCGCATCACAGCTTCCTCACCCTCACTTCCGGGTCACTTCCTAGAAAATCCATCGCCTCTCTTCCTGGGGTGGTCACTGATCTGTCCTTCCTGAGGGTCAGCTCTGCCCTTGAGCGGCTCTGGCTGGGGCCGCTCCTGCCAAGAGCCACGGCTCAGGCCGGCCAGGCCCTGCGCCAGGTCACTCAGACACTAGCCCTTAGACTAGTTCTTTGTGCTCTTCCTCTGGGGGTGGACAGCTGGGGGTTCAATGTCAAGACGGCAAACCTCTTTGATGCTTCCACCCTTGGGAAGTCAGAGCCACATCCTCCCCACATCATCAATAGGGCGGCTGCCATGGGCCTGCCTTTCCTGCAAGGGGTCTCAGGGGCTCTGAGCAGCCCAACCCCCTGCTGCTCCCACGCCCCAGGCTTTTCTCCCTCCCTCCCTCATGCCCTCTCGAAGTGACATTCTCCTCCTTCACCTCCCCTAGGCCGTCTCCTCCATCCCCCAAATAAGACACTCACAGTCAGAGGAAGCCACCACGTTGTGTTTAGTGCTGATGAACACAGCCTGGAGCCCTCTCCAGCATTACACCCCTGCCCCCTACCCAGGCCAAGAGAGGCTGCAGCCTGGGGAGGGGGCTGGCAGCGGGCATGCGAGCCCAGTGCCCCTGTGTATATAATCTATAGTATTTATATATATTTATAGAATTCTCTCTGTAACATATGCCATAGAATCTCTCTTGGGCCTGGGATGGGGATGTCACATTAAGAAAACATGCTGAGACTGGCCATAAAAGTGGATCTTCCCCAGACCTGGAAGAGGAGCAGGGGCTGTGTGGGCGGGGCAGGGCAAAGGTCATAAACACGGTCACAGTCACCAAGTTTCCCTCCTTAACACAAGGAAAAGAAGGAAGCAGGGCAGGGGACAGGCGGAAGGGGAGGAATGGGAGGTTTGGGTTTTCCTTTAATAACGTGAATTGAAAATAAAAGTGCACCCCCCACCCCCGAAAGAAAATCATTTAGCAAGAGCAGTTTTCATTCACAATAATATAAAAACAGCCCTGTCCCGGGACTGTTGTAAATCGTGCTGCACAGCCTGTAACCCCAAAGGAAAAGCAACCCTCCCTCACCCCCAACAGCCTCTTCCAGCACATGCCCCTCCCCGCCCCCCAAATAGGCTATAAGCAAACCCCATGCACCCTTCCCCCAGCACCAAAGAGGCAGTTTCTCCCTCCAGAAGAGTCCTAAGAGGGTCCCAGGCCAGCTCCCTGGTCTTCTCCCTCTTCGGAGTGGGAGGGGAGCTCCTCACAAATGCAGACCCTCCCGGCCTTCGGTCTGCGTATGTGCCAGCCGCCCGCACAGGGGACGTGGCGCCCCACTGGTGTCTGAAATCGCCTAGATTCCTTGACAATTCAATCACCTTTCGGCAGGGCCTACCTGAAGAAAGGCTTCCTCAAGTAGGGAGGGAAGAGAGAGCGCTGCTTTCGTCTACCTGCCCTAACTCCCCGGAGCCCTGAGCAAAACCGAAATGAATGAGTCCACTCACTGGAGTGGACGTCCACTGCGCTCTGGGGGCAGAACAGGGGGCAGGAAGAGGGTGAGATTAGAAGAAAGGATGGTGTATCCAGAGAGCAGGTTGCACTAGGTGAGGAAACGGGCTCCCTGGGAGGAGGGAACCACGAGCATGCAAAACCCAAGACCTGCATCGGGAGTATGGGGTGAAGACACGAGCTCCTAGGCCTGGAAGCCCCGGTGCCTCATGAGTCAGGTCACATGATTACACACAAGGGACAGCTCTGGATGAGGTAAGCAACTCTTCACCCACCTGTGCTCACCATGTCTACCCGTGTTTCCTCCAAGACTCACCCTCCCCTCCCCTCCCCTGAGGACATGGGACCCCAGCCTGGGTTGCATTTCAGGACCACGTGTGTATGAAGGTGTGAACTTGACGGGGGCGAGGGGCAGGGTCACAGATGGACAGAAACACAACTCAACCTCCTCATTCCAAAGAAATAGACATCTGGGGACGGGTGGGATAAGGTAGTTTGTGCCCAGGGTCTGAGAGAGATGACGTGCTCCCTTCCCCACAGAGGACAGAAGCAACAGGACCCCTGACAAAGTCTGGGTAGAACACGAGGCCTTGAACCCGGAGCCTTAGATGAGGCAAGAGGGGACGCAGGCAATGGACCTCTCAGCGTCTCCCCCCTGTCCATATTCTCCGCGGGCCAGGAGCCAGGGGGCAGGGCCCCGCCGAGTGCTCCACAGCCGCCACTCCTCCACCCGGCCCGGCCCTGCCGTCAGGGTAGCTTACAGAGGTGTGGGGGCTTTGTGTGCCGCACACAGAGGTCCCCACCCGAATGGAAACCGGGTGTGGGACGGCAAGCAGTTTCAGGGGCTTACGCCTCACTGTAAACCCAGCCTAGAAGGAAGGAGACTCCGCTCCCCTCTCCGCAGGAGGCCCGGGAAGGGGCCGGGGAGCAGCTGAAGGAGGAGAAAACGGGCTGAGTGCCCCCCGGGCGGGGGCCTCACAGCACCAGACTCCTCCCTCCACCCCACTCAACCTGAGTCCCCAAGAAGTTATAAAAATGTAGAAAAGGCAAAGAGAAAAGTGTAAACAGCTCCAGAGAATTTGGGGGTGGATGGAGGGAGGCACAGTCCTCATGCTTCCCAGCCCGGCAGGCCACCTGCATTCTGTGTCACCCGCTCTGGGCGGGAGCTCCTGGAGCAGGGGATGGTAGAAGGCAGACAAAGGAAGCAAGAGCTGGAGCAGCCAGCCCGCTGGGTCCTTCCCCAGACCCTTAGGACCCACCTTTCAGTCACGGGATATTCAAGATCCCAGGACAGGTGGCCATGTGTGTTCCTGGTCCCATCAGTGACTCTCTGGTGTCATGGTGGACCTTGTATAAAGACTCCTGCTTGTGCCCCTGTGCACCCCGGCTGTCATGTCCACCTGCCCCCTGACTCCTGATCTCAGGAGCCGAGCTACCCTCTGAGGGCAGGCTCTCCATCCTGTGAGGAGACGTGGCTTCCCCTCCCCTCGTTGAGCCACGTCCAACAGCCCCTGAGGTCTGCTCTTCACAGCAGGGTCAAGCTGGGACCACAGCCAGAGAAAACACAGAGTCGGGAAAAGCAAGGGTGAATGGAGAAGGGAGGCATTCAGACAGCCACGGTCAGGGCTCCTGGAAGACGAAATCAGGCCGTGAAAATCTGGGACCTAGTCGATGGCCACGGGCCGCTCTGCGCTCCTGCGCCCAGGATACAAACTGGAGCTCCAGCGTCACAGACACAGAAGCCCGCGGCCAAGCCAAGCTCACAGCCATCTGGTCGCCTGGGCCTCAGTCCCCGGACCTGTGGTTTCTACGGCATAAGCCTGGACAGAGTCCCATCCTGGCCCTCCATTTTCCTGGCGAGGACTGGCAGCTCCTGGGCCCCTCGCCGTCTTCTGCTCGGGTTGCAGCTGCACTGCTGGGGGAAGGGAGGGTAGTGTTGCAGCCATGCCCCTCAGGTGGGAGTGGAAGGGAGGGCACAGAGTGGGAAGAAGCTAGTTGTTGGCCTCGCCCTCCTCCTCATCAAAGGACTGCACACCTGAGGATGTGACATCAGACACCTTCCGGCTGAGAGCAGTGGCCATCTCGGCGTCTTCTCGTGGGGAAAGAGACTCCAGGTCCCGGCATCCCGCATCCTCTTCCTCCTCGGGGGCCAACGGCCTCTTCTCCTCCTCTGCCGGGCCTCTTACCAGGTCCACCCTGCCCACCCCTGGAGCCCAGTCGGTGTCTCCCCCCAGCAAAGGTGGAGGCTCCTGAGCAGAGTATCCTGATGCAGGCTGGGCAGGCCCCATCTCATGCAAGCTTGGCTGTGAGTCATCAAACGCAGGGCCAAGATAGGAGCCTGTGGCCGGAGAGGCAATGAGGGATTGGTCGCTTGCTTCCCAGGCATCTGATGACCCCAGACAGTACATGCCCTGGGACACATAGGAGTGAGGCCATCCATCCATGGGGGCTTGAGTGAGGGCATCTGTAAAGAGAATCATGGATGTTGGTGGAGGCACATGCTATCCGAGGCAATAGCAGCAGCACAGAGAATCAAGGGTGAGACATCAGAGGAGGAGGGGAGTAGAAAGCTGAGATGAACAGACAGTCTTGGAAGAACAGAGATGAGCCCTGGCTGGTGTGGTTCAGTGGACTGAGTGCTGGCCTGTGAACCAAAGGGTCGTGGGTTCGATCCCCAGTCAGGGCACATGCCTGGGTTGTGGGCCAGGCCCCAGTAAGGGGGCACACAAGAGGCAACCACACATTGATGTTTCGCCCCCTCTTTCTCCCTCCCCTCCCCTCTCTAAAAATAAATAAATAAAAACTTAAAAAAAAACCCAACAGAGATGAATACATGTAGCCTAGATAGTTGGGGAGGCCCCTTAGGTCCCAGGGGTTGGATTCTGGAAGCACCCCTCCCTCACCTTGACTCTCCATCAACTCCTGGTAGTTGTCACTGTAGTTGCAGCCCAATGGCTCCTGTGCAGAGTTGACACTCATGTCCTCACCATCCATGGAGGACCAGGCCATGAGCGTGGCCTCGGAGATGGCAAACTGTTCCATGACGCCTGCAAGAAGAAATGTAGTCAGCATAAGACGTTCACCTTGCCATAGTGGGTGGGGCTGGAGCGTCAGTCCCTGGCCATCCCGAAGTGTGCCTCTTGAGGCTTCAGGGAACAAGTACCTGCGAGGAAACGTGCCTCCTTCTCGCCATCGCTGAGGTCGGAGTAGGCATCGGTATCCCTGCGCACGGCCTCGTGGCTGTGTTGCGGCTGAATGGCGGGTGCCTTCCCCCAGCCCTGCCACTCAATCATGTGGGCCACCCGGCCTTGCCCCATGGCTGTGGGCTTCGTCACATGGTCCTTCATGCTTCTCGAAATCCCTGAGGGGCCAGACATTCTCCGCATCCTCCAGAGCATCACACAATACCCGTAACGGGTCCCCCCCCATCCTCATCCCAGTCCCTGGGGGCTCCATCCTTGGGGGCGGGACAGGCTCCCCTGGATCTCCCTATATGAGGGCGGCCTGTGGATGAGGGAGGCTTGACAGAAAAGACAAATAGGTCAGGGATAGGAAATAGGAAGATGAGGGTCCTCTTCAAGCCCGAAGGAGCCGGGAGACTGGGACCAGAAGCCTGTAAGCATCTCCTATCTGGATGCGTCCCCAGGTAGGCCATCTCACCTGAGAATGAAGACTTGGCCAGGGCCCCAATGCCATAGGCATTCGAGTTTCTCTTAAGCTTCGGAAGAATGGAAGTGGTGTCCTCCATGGAGAGCTGGAATGGGGAATGTGGGAGGAGGGACAGAGGAATAAGAGGGCGTGGGGTGCCTTCTACGTGGGGGGCTCATGGTTTCCAGAGGAAGGACCTGAGCTCAGCAGGTGATAAGGAAAACCATTATACCCAGGGATGCCAAGGAGGAGTATCCTCCGACCATCCTTGAAACTGGGGGGGAGGCAGAGCATGGGACTGCTCGCAGCGCCTGCTGCAGTGAGCGCGTGCTCTGTTACCAAAGGCTAGAAGGCAGAGGAGTTGGGCTGCTCTGGGGAAGGCTAGGGAGGGCCGCACTCACATTGATGCCATCCCAGGAGAAATCGGTTCGGGTTTGCTGTGAGGAGAGAGAAGACAGAGTGGGCATCCCAGGCACTTCCAGGACTACTAGGAACCCCCTCTCCTTCCTCAGAGGGACTTCCAGAAATGCGTGAAGAAGGGAGGGCTTTCTTCAGATTAGCATAGGGAGTTAGGGTGTCAGTGTGGAGGGATATTTATTTGGAGGAATGTAGGAGAAGTTCTCGGGGTGTCCATCTGAAGGAGCATCTGGGATGTTGACTTTGAATTTAGAAAGAGATTTCAAGGCTCAGGCCACTGGGAGGCTTTGCTCCACGGCCTTTTAGGGGTTCTCTGGTGAGGAGGCGGCTGGACCCGGATCCCCGGACCTCACCTCCGTGGATGGCCGGTGGAGGCTGCTTCCGTGCAACGAGCTGGTGCTGTCCATGTTGATTTGGTCGACATCCTTCAGGCCCTTCCAGTCCACGGCAATCACCTCATTCCCTGAAGTGTCCAGACAGTTAGTCATTCCACGTCACCCCCCTGCGCCCCACCCAAAAGGCCCCTCCTGGTCTCAGATGCTGAGGCGCACACTGAGGCCGCCCCTGCAGACCCCTCCCTACCCTGGGGTACCACTCCTTCTTCCCATTGCCCGTTCCTTCTACATCCCTACTCTCCTCACGTCTTTGGTAGAAGAAATCATATTACTGAGCCAAAATAGTCAGTTTGAGCTCAACCAATAGTGCAGTCGGAAAAAGCGGTATATGGCCGTACTTATTGTTGCTTAAGTGAAGGGTCAGTGGTTGGGTTTTAGCAGGAAAACTGTTGTCCATCTTGCCCTGACCGATCCGTGAGGGTTTCTGTGTATGAGCATGCACGCGGGAGCTATGCATTTTATCTGTTATGTTTCTACGGAGAGGGGCGGGACTTCTCTAGGGACTGGCTTCTCTATGCCTGGCTTTATTATTTGTGAGCTGGAAGGAACGGAGAGGACCCTCTGTGGAAGTCAGTGAACTTGATTGACAGGAAGGATTTGGAGAGGATAGAGGCAGGAGTTGGGTGCGTTCACCCAGAAACAGCCAGAGCAGAGAAAACAAAGCGTGAGATGGAATCTCCCGACTGTTGGGAGATAAGTGATGGATTAGAGGCGTGGAGGTGCGACCACAGGAGGAGAGCAGGGGACTTTTTAAAATAGGCACCGAAAGAACAGGAATGGGAGGGGTTTGAGGGTTTAGGGGGACCTCGAGGGCGGAGGAGGGAGGCGAAGCCCGTGCCCCAGGGGAAGCGAGACTGAGATCCAGGCAGGCGGTCAGAAGGCTTGGGGAAGGACCTCCTGCAGAGTTGTAGGGACCCAAGTCAGGTGGCTGTGAAGCATCTGACTGTACCGATCCCTTCCATACATGAAGTTTTAGATTCTGAATTTCAGGTGAGGGGTCTGCTCTTGAGAAGGGGTCCGCGGCCTGAGGAGGCATTCAGCATGCATCAACATAGCTGGTGCTGAAGGCAGAGCTCCCGGTTAGGGGGTCCGAGGGAGGCAGGACCCCTCCGGGGCGGCCCGCTGTCCCTCGGGCCTGCAGGGGAGCGCTGGGATGTGTCTGACCAGAGGCTGTGCGCTGGGGGGAAGGGGAGAGATGCACCTCTGGGCAGAGAGAGCGGGAATGGGGCAGGCAGAGAACAACCTCACAGAAGGAATTTGGGGCCGGCAGAGTGGGAGGGGGGAGGTGGCCTTTGTAGAAGAGGGAGAGCTGAGTCAGAGCGGTGGGGGGCAGGGAGGGGGAGAAAGAGGACCGGGGAAGAGGTGAAGCAGAGGAGGAGGGGGGTATCCATGGAAATAAATCAAATCTCAGAGAAATCAGGCTTCCGTTGAGCGAGTTTCTCTGTGATAATAATACGAATTATTCTCTCAGCCTGAGGTCACTGGGGCGTGTAGGCGGGAGAAACGGGGAGTTGAAATGTGAAAAAATTGGGGGGGTTGGGGAGAAGGCTGGATTGATTTCTTGAGCTGCGAGAGAGGAGCGTTCAGGAGGTGGGGGACCAGGGGGCGGTAGCAAGGCAGAGGCCGAGGGCGTTAGACGAACTAGGAGGCGCCGGTTTTCCCTCCCCCAGTCAAAGGTAAATAAAGGGCCGGCTCCGCCCCCACTACCCCCCGCTGACAGGTGCTGCCCAGTCCCCGGGATCCTCCCAGGCCCGGCCCCACCCTGCTGGGAGCTGGCTCCCGACCCCTCCAGGTCCCTTCAGAGCTCAGCCTCCTCCCCGCGTCCACCGGCTGTAACCCCCCAACAGCCAGCCCGTCCCCGTTCCCTCCCGGCGTGGAACCCATTCCCTCCCCGAGGCGCATCCCGCCCCCGCTCCAGAGGGAAAATGCACGTGAACAAAGCAAATCCGGGGAGGCAGGAACGACAGAAAAAGGCAACGAAGAGGGAAAGAGATGGGGGCAAAACATCCAAGCCAGATGGAGGCGGGAGTGGGGGTGGGGTGCGTGCGGAAAACAACTCGGGGCTGAGGTTGTGCCGCGAGTGTTCTTAGAAGAGGGCTGCTCCAGAAATGGAGATGGAGGTGCGGGGGCGCCGAGGCAGGCAGAGTCGGGCGGAGGGCCTGGCAGTGGCGGGCGAGGGACTGGAGACTAGGGGAGAGCGACGGAGGCGAGAGAAGAGGCTGATGGAGAGATGATGGAGAGGGACCGCGCCTGGGGGAGGGCGATGGAAGGAAGCCGGAGGGAGACGGAGAGAACGCTGAGAGCCTAGAGGGATGCTCGCCCTGGGGGCCCGAGATGAGAGCGGGAAGGAGAGGCGCGGGGGGAAAGTGAGGCAGTCAGGCCGCGCAAGCGGCGGAGAGCGCGGTCCCCGGGGGGCACGGAGAGGGTGGGGGAGGGGCCGGGGGAGCGGACCCGGCGAGCCCAGCCTACGCCCGCGCCCGCCGCGCCGCGGTACCCACCCACGGTCCGGGAGCCGATGCAGCCCATGGCGCGGGGCCTCCGGGGCCGGACCCTCGCCGACGCGCGGCGGGCGCGGGGGGAGCACCGGGAGCCGCGCCGCCGCCGCCCCAGCCTCTCTGCAGCGCCGCGGCTGTCTCCGCTCGGCTCCGCTCCCCCCGCCCCTCTCCATCCCTCCCCGCGCCCGCCGCCGTCGCCGCTGCCGCCACCGCCGCCGCTAGGCTCCCCCGCCCCGGCTCTGCTCGCGGCCCGGGAGGGGGCGGCCCGGGGATTGGCTGCGCCGGGCACCTCCCCCAGGCCCGGACCCGCCAGCGCGCTCCCCGCGCACCTCGCCGCGCTCCCTCCGGCAGCCCTTCCCCAGCCCCACCCGGGGTTCCTCTCTGGTCCCGGCTGGGCTCGCGCTGGGGTGGGTCGGTGAAGTCCCGGAGAATACCGGCCTGGGGTCCCAGAACCGGGTAAAGAGCCCCGGTACCACCCTTCGGCTCTGGTGGATTAATTTTTTGGGTCGGGGTTGGGGATGCTCAGAAAGTGGGGTGGGGATGAGTGTAAAGCCGGGATGAACGGCCTTGGCCACTCAATTCCGCAAACACTTGTTTTCTTCCAGGGGTGGCGTGATTGGATTCCGTTTAGGATGCTGTGCGTTTCCTGCGCACGGTTTGTCCACCCAAACGGATCGCGAAGTCTTTGCAAGTGGATCCTGTATGAGACTTCCCTGGGCTCGTCGCTCGCTGGCAATTGTGGGGATGGATGTACGGTGCAGATAACCTAATTCCAGGCCTGACTGGGGATGCGGGAGGAGAATGAAGCTAATTCAGTCCCACCTGAAGTGAAGTAAAAATATCAGGACCCGAGGCTGGCTAGATGTCATAGTTTGAAATGCAGTTTAACTTTTCTGAGTGTTGGTCTTCTCTGACAAGTAAAAGCATGGATGTCAGGAAGCAGTCAAGATCAAGAGAGAGGATGCCCTCTGGCTAGTGGGGAGGGTCAGGTAGGTACGAAGGGCATCCTGGGAATGAGAGAGAGAGATCTAAGTAGCAAGGGTCAAGTGGGCAGATGGTGACAGCCATCTAAAAGTGGAGCCCAGAAAAATCCCATGAGAAAGGGCAAGGAGACTTGTCTAAGCTGCACCCAGAAAACCCAAAGTGTGAGAAGGCAGAGTTTCAGCACCAGTGCCCTAAGCCAGGGTCTATTTGCTACCCACCTGCTTTCATGCACCTCCTGAGGTTGAACAGGAAGTAAGGCAGTGGACCAGGGGTCCCTGGTGTGTGCATGTAAGGGAGAGAGACCAGGTCTTCGAGATGCAACTGTTAACCTTTAGATTACGGATGGAAGCTAAGGATGGAAGCTAAACTTTAGGGTGATAACCATTACATTTGGTGGCACCCCACGAGAGATCTGGGAGATGATGCTAACCTAACTGCAGATCTGGGAGATAGGATTGTGGAGAGAACTGATCTTTGGTCTCTGTGCATGAAGAAATGAGCCAAATCTACATCTATAAAACCACAGAATAGTCTGTTGTAGATCTGCTTAGATTTTAATTGTCCAGTATAATTTGTGGCAGGATCTGATAACTTCTTGGGACAGTGGAAAGAATTAGAAAGTATTTCCCCCATATCTGCTATTGTTTATTTTACAAAAGAAGTATCAGGATTCTGCTCTCCTGGCATTTATTGTCAAGCTGCACAGGAAAGGAAATGGAAATATGAACAAAGAAAAGAAAGGAACAACCTCCATTACTATAGCAGCACCACCCAGACCCTCATGGTTGGAGCGTGGGGATTTCCAGGTCCCGTGCGATGGGCCAGGCCTTCCCACCCAACATTGCTCTCCCTTCCGGGTGCTTTCATTCCCTCTATTACTCTGATCCAAACATGGATATAAACCCCTCCTGCACCCCCTTTAGCACAGCTGTATAAGGCTGGACTTAGCCAAATGATTTAAATCAAGGTCAACACAAGGGATTGCACGTCTTGGAGACTCAGTCTCATCCCATGTTCTGTCTTAAAGGTATTTTTTTGCACCCCAGAAAAGTAGAATGTCATAGGCACAATGTTGGCCAGCTTCCTTCCTGCTTCTTGTGTGGGCTCTTATTTATCACCATGTAAAGGCATTCTCCTAGTGTCTTTGCCATCTTCTGAGTCAAGGTCAAAGATTCCAGTCCTGATGTGACCAGGAACAACCTTCCCAGGGGACAATGTGATGGTACTGATGAAAAAAATCTTTAAAATATGCACTGATGATGTTGTTGTTGTAAATAAGTTGTGACACAACTGTTCCATTTATAGAAATATTCTAAGGAAATAAAAAAATGTGGACAAAGATTTAATCTACAGCATCCCTCAGAGCTTTATTTACATAACAAGGAAAGATTGTACACAAATCACATGTTTGAACCTGGGGATTAGTTAAATAAATCATGGTAAATATCTATAAGTAGAATTCTATGGAGCCATTAATAATATCTTATGGCTGTATTTGTCGGCAGAAAGTTATTCATGATATATTGTGACATTATTTAAAAAGCAGGTTTTAATATAAGAATGGCACATCGATTTTTGTTTAAATATCACACAGGCACACACACATTCTTCTAGCAGGAAGAAGGATGAAGCAGACAGTCAGTAGGTTGCACATTCGGTGCCAGGACAATGGGATTCCTGTCTGATGGTGCCTACTTTCTTGGAGAAGTAGGAGGTGAGAACATCTAAGACTTTGGGAGTGGGGAAGATAGAGAATAAAATAATAAGAAATAACATGCCAATATCACTTTACAGCTGACAAAGATTTTTCAGTCTCTCCTTAGAACAACCCAATAAGGAAGATGTTATTTTTTGCATTGCAGTTGCAAAAACCTGTGTTTCAGGCTGATTAACTTTCCTTTCCCCCGAATTACCCAGCTGGAAACAGAAGAATCTAGAGCTTCAACTCAGCCCCACAAGTGGTAATTCACCCTGGATGCTGCCTGTGGGTGTCCAACCTGCGACCCGTGGGCTGCGTGCAGCTCAGAATGGCTATGAATGTGGTCCAACACAAAACCGTAAATTTACTTAAGACATTATGAGGTCTTTTTTGGTGATTACGCATCACAGTGTATTTAATGTGTGGCCCAAGACAACTCTTCTTCCAGCATGGTCCAGAGATGCCAAATCTATTTCTTGTGTATTTGTTTGTTTTAAAATGTTAGAATGACTTAGTCCAGGAAGTTTTATTCAATACACATTCTTTCACTCTTGCCTGTCTTTAAGGTAAGACCATAATCTGAAGAGAGGCATGGAACTGTCTATATTCCTAAATTTTGAAATGGAAAAGCGATACTCTTTCCTCAGGAGGACTTCCGGCCCCGCTGCAGGTCTTCGGTGCCATCATAAAACAACGAAGACAAGAGTGGTTCCTACTTGTCGAAGTCTGTGCATTGTATCGGAATCTCTGTGTCTCGGGCGACGGGGAGGTGACTCTGGCTGTTCCTAAGTTTAGTCAGTTTTCGGGCAGCAATTCGGGGCTCACAGGAGGCATTGTTTGCTTAAGGCACAGGAGGTGAGTATGCTGACGCTGGGAAACTTGGGGAAAGGGCTGCAGGTGCACCTGGACAAGGGTGGTGGTCTTGGGGGGAATCAGATGCCTGCGAACAAGTGATGGAGGTCTGTATTTCTTCAATGGGATAATTTCCTTAATAGTAAACAAGAAAACAAAGAATGGAGCTTGGGGGCTAGGTTGCTGACGTGAGTGTTGGGGGCAGACTTGGACCTAGGTCACAGATGGGGAGGAATGGTTGGTAGGGTGTAAATTGTATTTCCACCCAGTGGGAGCTGCCACAGAATCTGTGCTGGTCAGCTATGGAGTGAGTGATCAATAGGTGAGGCTCCCAGCCATTGTGCTGAGGCAGGGCCTTTCCTGGGCCTAGCAAGTTTGCTGAGGAAGAAAGGATGCGCCAGCAGGGCTAGTTATATGGGAAGACACGGTCCATAGCAGAAGTTCTCTGGTTCCAGTGTTGGTGGTGGGGACACAAAGGCCTCATTTGACCAATCCCTAAACTGTTGGACTCTGGAAGAGAAAATGTTTCATTTCATTTTATTTGTTTTTTCATTATTTTTAGAGAGGGGGAAGAAAGAGAGAGAAAGAAAGAAAGAGAAACATCAATTGGTTGTCATCTCCTATGGGTCCCAACCAGGGGTCGAAGCCACAACCTGGGCTTGTGCCCTGACAGGAAATGAACCTGTGGCCTTTCGGTCCACAGGATGACACTCCAACCAATGGAACCACACAGGCCAGGATGATAAGACCTTTTAGGCCAACATAGATCAATGCTCGTTTGACCTCCAGATGACGTTTTAAACTTTTGCAAAATATTAGGGAGCTAAGGGGAGCTCATTGCAATGTGTAGTGAGATAAGAAAGCTTGGCAGCATGGCCAATGCTGGTGACCTCTCCCCCCAACCCCACCCCTGTGGTGTGGTCTCTAGGGACACAGGGGCAGGTCAGCATCACTGGATCCCTATTTTGCAGGATCCTGTGGCTCCATGCAGCAGAGGAGAGAACTAATAGAATCTATTGTTTAAATTATGGGAGGAATGCACTTGCCCTGTCTGTTTTTTGAAAAGTGATCTATGGGCAAGCCTGGAAGAGAATCATTTCAGATTTGGGGGTTCCGTCCAAATGTCTGATGCAGAAGGCCAGGCCAGGGTTCTGGGCTAATGGGCTCCCACATGCTCCTCAGAAAACGGGAGGATTGGGTCCAGAGTGCGTGGAACAATGTCCTCGTCAGGCCCCAAAGCATACTCAGGGCCCTGTGGGGCCATGCTCAATTCCAGGTCACAGGCAGCAGCAGACTAGGCAGGAAGCCAGGACCCAGGAAGCAGGCCCGGGCCGCCACGCGTCGGAGGCCAAGTAAGCACTGAAAGTGGAGTTCATCAATCTCGGAGCCGGAGCGGATGTGACCATCAGGGGTCAAGCGAGTGCTCAGCACTCACAAATCCCAGAGCCACTGGCGGAGAGAGGGAAGTATTAAGTAGGTAGTACCAGATAGTTGCTTCTTCCGCCTCAATGTCCCTACCTGTCAATTTTATATTCTCCAGGACCAGTGAGA